GCACTCTGGCCGTATGAATACCTGCTGAATATGTACCTACATATGTATGCACTACATAGCACATAGCATGCATAGTATGCCATAGTGTGCTGCAGGTGCACAAGCATCCGCATCCGTCCTTATTTGTTTGTGTTTCACCTGTTTATGTGTTTATTTGCTCGGGCCAGCAAGTTGGCAAGTGCTCTAGAGGAACCGCAGCGAGAACGCAAACGGGCGGCGACAAATGAGTTCTGTAAAGCGGCGCACAGTGAAATAATTCGTGTTCCACCCGTCCAGGCAACGCGGCTCCATGGGGAAATCGATCGATCAATCAACAAGCCAAACTCGCCATACTCCGCAGCAGGTGCCTCCCAACTCCGCGTCTAGACATCTGTCAGGAGATGTCCCTTTAATCGCTCCTCCAGTCGGATGGTTGCGGGGTGCGCGGTGCGGGGTGCAGGTTGCCCCTCCCTGACGGTGGCGTCATTGTGGCGCCGCCTTGCAACAGCTGTTCCTCGGAGAAGCTTTCGGAGTCATATGTTTTGTTATTGTCCGGCCAAAGCTCCGGCAGCGCCTGAAGCGCGACTCCTGGCACTTGGCCAGTGGAAGGTCCTTCATGGGGATACCGGATAGCCGGATAGCGTTCCATCAAAAAAGCTCGGCGGCGGTGCAGCAAGGAGCTTTCCACAAGAAGCCGGCGGAGAAGGCAAAGGGCCGATTGAGCACTTAGAGTCGCGAACTCCCCATTTTGCCTGCCCCAACTTTTCGCGCTGCCATGTGACGTTATGTCATAGCCAAAGCTGATTCGGACCCAACATAATGGCCTGGAATTATGCTCATCTGCTGATGATGGTGGTCTTGTCAACGTCGTTGTCCTTGTCCTTGTCCTCCTCCTTGTCGTTGTCGTTGTCGCTGTCATCGTGCGGCAACAAATTTGGGGAGCGTCAGATTTTGATGCGTCAGCATTTACATGCGTAATCCAATACAGGGATTGTCACATCACATTATATTTACATTGGTTCTTATCTCGAAATATATACGAGTGTATTTTGTTGCACTGCGTTTATTTTGTTGCATGGCTGAGCGGTTGCTTATGTCAGTTGCATTGCATTCCCCGGCTTCCAGCCCCCCCGCCCGTTATCCCCACGTCATTCAGACGTCTCCTTCGAGGTTGGCTCTGCCGGTGGCAAGATGCATTTCGGAGGTGGAGTGGGATTGGGCAGAAGATTTTCGGCTATTCAGATCGGGCCATACCTTTTGGCCACCCCTTCCGGTGAGCTTAGCACTTGGCGGAATCCGCTTAAATGCCATTTCCGGCACGGCACGGCACGGCAAGTGTTGCGTACTTTTTGTCGCCATTCCGCAGGACGAAGGACGAAGCAAGAAGGAACGGCTCTGTGTGGAACTGTACGAAAAACGGCCGCAGGGCAGAACGGGATTCCCTCCAAAGGACGACAACTGGGAACCGAGAACTGAGAGCTGGGCTAAATTGAGTTGAATGCTGAATTTACTGTGTGGGAAAAGTGCAGCAGCCACGCCCCATCCCATAAACGCCCCCGCCATAGGACTTTGCTGCATTGCAGTTGCCATACATTCATTGCCCCACCCGCTGCCCGCTGCCCGCTGCCCTTAGTTCCCCTGCTGCTCCCACAACTCGTACTTTCGTTGGCAAAATTGTATTTTCCTTGCCTTTAAAGGGGGTGTGGGATTGGGTAGGAGCAACCCCAGGGACTGGCTTAAATATCAACACTTGACACTCACCATTGTCCGGCACTTGGCCACCGCACTGTTTGGTCGCTTTGTTCGGTCGCCGACGAGGATTTGGTTACTTCCTGTGCCCATCGCTGGTTCCTCCACGCCCGCCTTCCACTAATCGCTGCATCCAGGGACCGCAATAAGTCAGTCAGTCTGTAATGGAGATTTTTGCCCGGTTAGATTTGAGTCATTGCGTTATGGGATTCGGAAATACATAGGCTTGTCCTGATACTGAGCTCAACCTCCATATGAAAGAGGCTCGTGGCTCAGTTTAATGTTATTACTGTTGCTTCAAACAGCACAGCCAAAAGAACGAAGAAGAAAGAACGTAGAAGAAAGAACTAAGAAGAAGCATGAGCGACGTTCGCCGTTCGCCGTTCTCCATTCTCCATTCTCCGCTCTTCACTCGCTCGCATGCCATTTCGCTGTGCGATCCATTCCTGCTCGCCTGTCCAAACTGGAGCACTTATTGTACAAAAATTGCACAACGTGCACAAAGGCGACATGCAGAAGGCCATGGGCATTGGCACTACTACTAGTCTGTCTCGCAAGTCCGGTAAGGAAAGCAGCAGGTTTGTGCAGTTTGAAAACGCGCTGAATTTCCCGGCAATCGGTTTTTCCTGCAAAAAGTTAAAGCTTACTTGGAGTTATCAAGCTTAGCCGAGACACGAACCTGTGCGCACTCTCCAGACTATCCAGCCATCCCGCTCTAGCCGGCGCTCGCTCTCTCTTTTTTTTGCTTCTCTTGCCTGCTGGTGTAGCCATCCCTCTCCGACCACAGCAACGCATGACGGCCACAGCGACCGCAGTGCGAGCAGGATGGCGAGAGGGCGCCCTCACTATTTCTCGCGAATTTGGGTCGGTGGCCTGCTGGCGCTGCTGTTCGCCTGGTGATCCGTCTAGGGCAAGTTCCTAGAATGTTCATTCCAATAAGCCCGCTGCAACATTGCGCGAAAATCGCTCCAAGCCAACGGCTCCAAAACTCGTAGAATTCACCCGAGCGACGGCCACATCGCGTCATGCGCGTCGCGAATTAAGCAGGCAAACAGGGACGGCGATAGGGCGCCGTTCGCGGCGCTGGAGGAGGATTGGCGGCGCACGGGGGCCATCCTGGACGCGGCCGCGTCTGATGGCCTCCAGCAGGCACATGTGGCCAACTCAAACGGCGGACGGCTAACACTCACCCACCCCCACAGAAACGCACAGACACTCCACAGGAGCGCCGGGAGCGGTCCACAGTGGAGCGGAACGGTGCAGCGGATGTACGCGAGCGTTAACACTTTCGCTTTCTTGTTCCAACCTGGCGCTGGCCGCTAACCAGGCGCCCAGAAAGCAGCAGCAGTTGCGGCGGGAGCGGGCCAGCTATAGAGCTCCACATGCAAGCGCTACGCGCATCCCGCTCTGGCCCACGTTTTCACTACTCGCACACACTCGCTGCGAGAGAAAGAAGCAATAGCAAGTGCGCTGCCACTCTTTCTCTTTCTCCATCTTAGGGTGGCCATGAGATGGCAATGTCCTTGTATAAAAAACAGTTTTTGGGCTCAGGCGCTCATCGAGGAGTAGCAGTCGCCGTCGCCGCCGACGGGCGCTGCAGATTTGCGGCAAGTGCAGAAACACAGTGAACCATCGCTGGCTGAGAAACCGCGGTATTGGGAGCGGTAGTGCCGGCACTCTCAGCGAAATGCAGTAAACCGACTACTTGCATGCAACATACACACATACATATGTATGTGGCACAGTCATTGAGCACTCGAGGCAAGTAAGCATATGGCACCCATGGGTTCACCACGTCGAATGAGTGCTGTGTCACAGTCTGCAGCCCAATCGCTCTGGCGGGAGTTTCGGTTTCGAGTCGAAGGCTGCCCCTTTCCCCTTGCATCCAATCCAAGTCCAACGAAGCCTGTGCGGCGGCTGCTGCGAGCCTGTTCGAAAATCGACTGACTAAGGCCCCTGAAATCGTCGCACGGGGCCTCAGCAGAAACTCATTAAGCGCTCCGCTCCGTCTCTTGATTCTTTTCCTTCTGGCCAGGCCGGGCCAGGCCAGACCAGACCAGAGCAGACCAAGCCAATTAGTAGAAATTGTGGGGCCCACTCCCAGTGACCACAAAAACACAGCGGCCTTCTTCATTAGCTGCGCACATTTCGACCTACGATTTTCGCAGCGCATATCCTTCTATCCTATTACGCTAACATCTTCTTAATTAAAAAGCTGACAACGCCGTCTCCGGCCACCACAACCCCGCACCCGTCTCGCCCACAAGTCCGGTGGCAGATTTTTAATTGCTTAATTGGAACTGCGTGAAAATCCCGTTGAGAATGCCCAGAACGCATCCCCGAAGAGCCACCCGCAAAAAGGCATCACCACCACCTCCACCACATCGCCTGTTGCTGGGCAATTAAAACGCCATCGCAGATGAGGGGGCGGAGCTCAAGGTCGTCCGGCCGGAACAACCACCACGCCCTAGATACGCCTCAAACCCGGCATGGGGATCAGGCGCCCAGTAAACGGCAGGAGCGAACTAGAAAGGACTCGAGGAGGGGGCACGAGATGCTGCTGACGCACCGCACGACACGAGATGCAGAATGCGGACGCGGATGCGGATGCGCAGGGTTGACGATGCTGCAAGATGGTTTCGTGGCTGGCTGGCTGGATGGCTGGGTGGCCCAGAGCCCCGGGGCAAAGCTCAGTCGAAAAGCTCCTGGCGAGAAAGCTCCAACCACCGCGAAGGGTCCGGCACGGGGGGAATCCTATGGGATGCACTGCCAGGGGTTACGCAATCAGCCTTGTTCCACACCTACGCATTGAACTCATTTACACGAAGGACGATTTACTACAAGGCGATCGAAATACAACCCCTTCAGCCCCAGGCTATGATGATAAGGATATCAGTGGCTACGGGCAGTGCCATGATTGGGACTAGCCCACCCCGAAATGTGTTTCATGGCAAATTGAAGTTGCACTAACCTTTGAAGCGTTTTGAAGCGTGGTATGAAATGATATGATACGTGAGAATACGTGAAGATGGTCTTGAAACATCCTTCGTTACTGCTGATTACCCGGCAACCATGATCTTGAACTCTCTGCCGATCTTTTTGGAATTCGTTTCTTGACTTTTCTCACCATTCCTTGGGAATAATTTTGAAACCAAGTGAAAATAAACCAAATTAAAAATGAACTTATAAGTAATGTTAAATTATATAATAAACACCTTCAGTTCCGCAGAGCGTGTGATCCTTTGCCTCCAACCCAAATCATTCATTTGCTACTCCATGTTTCATAAGTTTTATTTTGGTGGTCGCTCAAAGGGAGCCACTCATAAATTGATGTACGTACAGGGCGGAGCCCTCGATTCACCATGATGCGATCCAATCCGATCCGAACCGATCCGATCCGATCCGATCCGATCCTCGCTGTGGTCGCTCCTGCGGTCCATGGTCCAAGTGCCACCCTGGTACGCTTTTAATTTTGTATAATTGTTGCCTTGTTGTCTTTTGGTTAGTCATAGTTCCATATAATACGGTATTACATAGTATATAGTAAAGTATATTATGTATAATGCATGTGTATATGTGTATATAAATTTAGTTAACATTAATTCACCAAATACTCAATGTCTCTCCATCTTCCTCGTGGTCTTCACCCAACTCGACACTCTTTGTTAGTCCATTTTCATAGCGATACCATTACGCTCGTGTTCAGATTTATAAAAGTTCAGTTGCCACTTTGTCTTTGTCATTGTTGTGTTCAAATCGAGATGGGTTAATTGAGATTGGTATGTGTTGGGTGTGCGGTGCGGGGAGTGGGGGACGGGACGGGGTCTGACCATTAGTCTTTGGCACGTTCGCATCGACGATAGCGATGGAGCTGATATGTAACCGGAGTTTCCTCGCGTTGTGCTTTTGTGAGCGGAAGGGGAACGGGAGTGGTGCCATATGGAAGTGGCACTAGTTCCAAATCAACATGGATTGTCGGTATGATCGAGGATCAGGCTGAGATCTCCTCGAGAGCACTGGGCTTGCTTGAAGTGGAGTGGGGGCTCTGGGCGAAGGCGTCTTGATTCGGTGACAACAATTCGAGCTGGTCAGTGGCTAAGTCTATGGTAAAACTCTTGGCTAAAACATTCCTTCAAACATTCAGACTGGCCGGCAATGGGCTTACGCGGAGATTTTCGCTTTTTGGCATCTTTGTGCAATGTAATCTAATCAATCGATCAATGGAATCTACTATGCTGAGATTGGTTTCGTTAGTTAGTTCAATTCAAGTCAACAAACAATGCGCTAAGGTTGTAACGTTTGCTAATTATATATCAATTATATATACTTTTAGGTATTCTTTCGCTCTAAGGTTTGCGTATTTTGATAAATTTGTAATATATTTATAAGGCCGCTTGGGGCAACTGCTATGAGAATGCTAAAATACTCATACGGGTTGGCGATAGCCGAGGATCAAGATAGATGTGGGGTCTTGGGGATAGTTACACTACGGATAATTGAAGCAAATTCTTCCCGTTCTTCATTGACTTTCTAAAATCTGGGGTCCCAGAACCAGAGTCCTCCTCGCCGAATCGTTTTCCTGGGAGGACTGTTTGTCTTTCTTAGCTTGTGTTTGTCGTTTGTTTGCTTGTCGGTTGTCTAAATTCATTAAAAACTCACTCTGCAATCTTTGCACAATCTCAATCTCGATATCGATCTCGATCTCGTTCTCGTTTTCGTTCTTGTTCTTTGGAACACTTGCACATGTGGGGGCTGTGGTGTGTTTGGAGTCTTATGTGGTAGTCGTTAATCAAGTTAGAATAAATCGAAGGTACAAAAAAATACAAAGCGGATTTGTATTAAATAATATATCCAGTATAGTTAGGGGTTACGAGTTACGAAAAAAACGCGTATTACGTAAACAAAATCGCATAACAACTTAGAATTACGAGGGCACAGCAATCGAGTGTGTAAACTATGTATGTACAGCTCAGGCGGAGCAGGTGAATGGCGAGGGACAGGGTCAGATACAGGCTGTTGCCTAGACTAAACGTAAACGTAATCGTAATCGTAAGACGTAAAAAATAAATAATAAATTAGGATGCAAGATGCAGGGGTGCGGGGCAGTGCAAACGGAACGGAATGGAACGGAAACGGAAATTGAAACGGAAAAACAGAAAACAGAAAACAAACGAAAAGTGAAATGCACGCCAACACGGATGCTTTAAGGGCGCTTACTTCGCCGCTGCGGAGGCGGAAACGGAACCGGGCGTGGCCGACAGCGCCATCTTGGAGAGCGTGGCCAAGGAACGTTTCGGGAACGTGTTGCTGCCGTCCGACGGGTCCGAGAACAGCTTCCGAAAGCTGCAATGCAGGAACAAAGCGAGTGATTAGGGAGTTCTACGCCGCTTCAGCACCACTTACAATTTGCGTATTCCCGACTCGGAGCTCTTCTTCCAAGGCGCATCGTCCGGCTCGTAGGGCAACGGTCCCTGCACGGGCGCATCGTGTCCAGGTGGCCTGAAAAGCGATGAAGTATGTACATAAGTAAGCCGAACTCAACAATAAATAAAACATGAAACCAAATCCAACATTTTGTTTGAATTCCATTAATGCCACTCAGTTAACTGCTGACCTTGCAAAAGAGCATGCAAAAATATACGTTTAAGCTCTGAATCACCTGCCAATTAAACGTTTGCATCATAGGGTCTATTTGAATATTGTTAGCACTGAATAACAACAAAAGAATGACTCAGGCTGAAGGTGTTTGCTCATTAATCATTCTGTCTCAAGCGGTCGTTCATAAATTGTGGTTTTCTCTAGCGGGGGCCAACAATACTGAAGGATGTAACTAAAATGGGCTCACTCACGTTTCTCCGGCCACTGGGGGCTCCAGCTCGTTCGCCTCGGCCGCCGCCTCCTCCTCGTCGTCGTCGTCGTTGTCCGCCACGTGACCATCGTCGTCCTCATCGCTGTCGTCGGAGCTGGAGAAGTGGCGCTGCCGCTTGCCCTTCGACTGGCTGGGCGGCTTCAGCTCCGCCAGCTGCTCGTTGAGGGTGTCGATGGTGGTCAGCAGCTCATCGCGCTCGCTAATCAACTCTTTCAGCTCGCGCGTAGTGTACCGCGGCCGGTTGGGATCGTTCTGGCCGTCATCGTACGAGGCCACCAAGTCCTCGTTCTCCTTTTCGGCCAGCCCCAATCGCTTGCGCAGTTGGTTGATCTCGCGGCTCTGGTCCTGCAGCTGGGCCAGAAAGTCGGCGCGCTCCTCGCAGAGCGTCTTCACTTGGGCCTGCATCAGCTTGTGGCGGCGCCGGGTGTCCCGCTCTGAGGCCTTCAGCCGCTCCGCCTGGATATTGAGCTGGAAATAAAAGGCAGAGAGTTAGTTGGGAATGCGAGCACCTGGCGCAAACGACACTTACGTGCTCCAGCTCGCTGTACTTGTCCTGCAGCTCACGCTCGCGGTGCTTCAACTCGTCCCGCTGCTTGTATATCTGCTCCTTGAGCCGTTGCAGCACTTGAGTATCAGAAAGAGCGCCGTGGAGCTCGTGGTTGGTCATGCTGATGATACTCTCGGTGAGACTGGCGCCCAGACCGGAGCTCTGGGCGGAGGAAGACTGCAGGTCCTGCGTCTGCTTCACCAGCCGCTTGTTCTCATCCTGCAGCGAGGAGACGAGATCGACCAGCTCGTTGGTCTCGCTGCGCCACTGCTCCTCAATCAGCTCCAGCTCCTTGTCGAACCGCCGCCGGAACTCGGCCTTCTCCAGCTTCTCGCTCTCCAGCTGGGCCACCTTGTCGCGCAGCTCCTGGATGGTGGCGTTCTCGCGCTCGTTCTTCGTGGCCAGCGCCTCCAGCAGCTCCAGGGTGTTGATGATCTTGGGCATCAGCCCGCTGACGGCATCCGTGCCGAAGCGATCCATGATCCGCTCGTACTCCTTCCCAATGTCCGAGGCCAAGTCGTACACATCGACCACGCCGATGTCATCGATGGCGTCCAGGACCATTTCACCCATCTCATTGAGGTGAAAGCCGGGCATCCAGGTGGTCAGGTGGTTAGTCTGCGACTCCTGCCAAGCGGACTTATGGCACTCTCTTTCTCTCTCTTTTCACTGAAGACCCGCTTCAGTTTTCGGCTCTTTACACCGTGTCCTGCTCCGCGGAGGTCCTTCGCGTATGGCTGCACCAGCTGACAGGGATTCCTCTTGCGCTAAAAGGACAGGTGTTGGTTTTCCAACTGCTTCGGACGGTGGGCGAGGGGCGTGGGCGGGGGCTGGGGAGTCCACAATCCGAAGTACGGAATTCGCAACTCGCAGTTCGCCGTTCGCACACACAGACTGCACAGTGGTGTGCGTGGGAGTGGCAATGCTCACTTCATTCACTCTATTTGTTGGTGCCGTCGTTTTGCTGCCGCCGATTCACTTTTCGCTGCCGATTCCCACATAAACAATTCGTCTTTCCGCAATTTATTTGCACAATTTTTGCTGAACCGAACTGGAACTGGGAACTGGAAGCGATGAGTAACGTATAACTGGTTCCGGAGGCTCCCAGATGTGCGAACTGGCTCCAAGATGAGCAGATGAGCAGTCGGTTCCGCAGTCTGGCAGCACTTCGCGCTGGCTGGCCAGTGTTGAGCAACGCCAGCACATTTGGCGCCAAGTTCCGCGCAGTTTAAATGGGCGAAGCGAGCTTACGTGCCAGGGTGTTAAAGCCTCCATCACGATCCAAAAGTCAGCGGAGTAATTTCATGGTTTTATTAATAAGTTCTTGTTTACAAAAGTGTATAAATAGTTTTGTTTGGTATTGTTGGATTTCAGTTTCGTTTGGTGTGTGCTTTCTTGTAAATTGTGGTTAATGGGTCTGGGCAATTATAGGCAATTATTTGTATTTTACACGTACAGTTAGCAATAACTAAATGGTTTGTGTGCTACACTTACACAGTTATGCAGCGACGACTAGCAAGTTTCTCCTTTCTTCTTAATTTTCAATCATTTTTGGTTTCATTTGGTTTCACTGGTTCTTTAAGTACATTACATTAGCTACAGTTCCTTGAATGGTTTCCTCGTGGAAACTCTCTGGGTGACATATAAAAATAATACACAAGTTCGTTCTCGGCTAGGCGTAACATTTTAGCATTCATTGCTGTAGCATTTTCGTTTCTTCACTCCTTTAGGGACTAGATTAGGAACCACATTTGTACATTTTGCGTTCTTAGCTGCTCGCTCTAATTAAGTAAGTTAGGTCTAATTTTCGTAAGGTAAATGTACAAGTCAAAATAGTCTCCTTCTTCTTTTTGGTAGCAGCTCAATTCATAGGAAAACTTTAAACTTAAAGATAAACACGTAAGATGTATAGAAAAAAAATCAATCAAAAAAATAGGCGACGCAACAACTTTTAAATAAAACTAATCGCTACGTTTCAGTTAGGTTGGCAAATAAATAGCGGGTTGCGAGTGGGTATGACCGATTCGGCAGGTCCTTTGGCAAGCATTCTCGATGGCAAGGCTCCAATCTTGGTTTTCTGTTTTGGCACTCAAACTAGGCGTAAATAAATATATGGTAAAATTAATGTTAAAAAGTGGTTGCGTCAATGCATGGCATGCAAGTTGGCAAATTAGCAAACTAGATGAAATACTAGCACCCCCCCTCCTGGGGATCCTGATTCTGCTGCAGGGCCAGCTGCCTCAGGAGCTCGGAGGTGACTTCCTGGCGCTTCGAGCGCTTCGCTGGCGGCGGAGTGGAGTGGGCCGGAGAATATGGCGACGGCAGGCCGCCCACCACGCCCACATCCCTGACCAAGGCATCCTGTGAGTCATCTTCGTCTGCATCGTCCTCCTCCTCCTCCTCGTCCTCGTCGGGTAGCGTCAGATCTGTTATGGCCTGGTCATGGTCCTCGCAATCGTCCTCCGACTGCTCTTCCTCACCAGACCGCCCATCATCTATGTCCACTATCGAGATGATGTCGCTGTCGCCCTCGCTCTCGCTCTCGCCCGCAGGACCCCCGACTAGTGCGAACCGCCTCTTCGCTGCGGACTAGCTGGTGCTGGCCTGCGTCTGCAAGACGTTGGCGGAGGCGGCAGTGGAGGCGGACGATGAAGCACTAGCGGCGGTCACTGCGACGGGCGAGAGCACACTGGCTCCTGGGAAGTGGCACGGACACGCGGGATTGGGCATGTGACCCGCCTGACTGTTCAGCTTGCGGGTGAGCGTCTGCCAGTATTCGATTTGGGCATTGATCAGGTCGATTTTCCGCTTGCTCTCCTCGATCCTCAACGAGTTCATCAGCTCCTGGTGCTGGCTCCTCGTGCCACCGCTGCCATTTCCTGCGCCGCCTGTCGTGTTGACGACACCGACGCCCAGGCCCACGCCGCTGCTGTTGGCACTGCTCCCGCCGCTTACGGCTCCGGATGAGCTGCTGTTCAAGGTGCCGCACACCGTGCCCGCCACTGCCAGTCCGTTGTAGCCATTGAAACTACCCGCCGCCCCAATGGCCACGCCGCCCGTCTTGTCCCGCGCCAGATGGTTGTGGTTGTGCGTCACCTGTGCGTGGTGACCGCCGTTGAGCAGCAGTTGCACCCCATTGGCGGCCACCGCGGAGTTGCTTGTGCTGCCGGCAGTGTGGTTGCTATTGTTGTTGTTGCCGCGCTGAAGGCGTGGCAGCTGCAAAGTGGGCGGGGTGCGGCGGCTGCTAATGGCGACCGATGAAGTTGGCGCGGCGGACACATAGGCGGCATTGATGGCCGCGTGCAGGGACTGAGCCGGATTCACGGCGGACAGTCCCAGGCCGTTCAGCAGCGTGTGCTGCTGCACTTGCTCCGCTGTGAGCGGCAGCACTCCACTGGCATTGGGGCCGCCATTGCTGGCCGATGATAGGACAGCGGCGGCGCTGGAGCCGCCGTTCTGCAGCGTCTTGTTGATGTTGGCGAAGCTGCCCACGCGTATGTGGCCCACGGTCTGGATGGTGATGTCCGGCTTGGGCGCCGATGCGTAGCTCCCGCTGGAACTAACCGAGGTCTTGGTGGAGCACACGGGTGAGCTGGCGGCGCGGCGACTGGTTTCGGTGAGCCCGTTGCTAGACACGTTCCCCGGCAGGGAGGCTGTGGATACACCACCGCCTGCGGCGCCGGACGAACCGACCTGCTGCAGCTGGCGCAGGTCCGTTGGAAAGAGCACGTCGTCCTCCTCCTCGAGGCACACCTCCGGCGCCTTGGGGCTCAAGCAGTCGTCGTCATCGTCCTCGTCCAGGCAGTCCATGCCATTGTCCGTCTGCTCGTTGTCGCTGATCGTCTCCGACTTGATAAGGATTACGTCCGTGTCCATGCCCTCGTGGTAGAGGGGCATCTGCAAGTGTGAGGAAAATAAATGATACTGAAACCATCATGGACAGCGCTTTAGTACGATTCACAGGGTTCAACAGAGTCAAGGAGGGAGAAAGCTATGCATTTGTTACTTCGGTTAGTTGAAGTACAACAAGAGGACCCAGCGAGTGACTCAATATGCACAGATCTAGAGTTTGAGCCTACCTTGGAGTCGTCGTAGTCGTCCGCATGGTGCCCGTTTCCGCCTCCGTTGCCCGCTCCGCCCTGCTTGCCGCCGCCTCCGCCCGCGCCCTCCGGCGAAAGCTGCTCGGCAATGTACTGGGCGACGGACTCCTGGTGCGACAGCGTGTTCAGCAGGTCCATGAACGAGTGGTTGCTCTTGTCCTCGCCGCAGAGGTCCTTCTTGAGCAGCAGCTTCATGTTCTTGTACAGCTGGCGCAGCTGCTTGGCGCTGCGCTGGTGGTAGACGCGCGAGTTGAACTCCTTGGCGATCTGCAGCCACACCTCGTCCTTCTTGCGGTTCGACTCCGCGTCCGTGCGCTTGTTCTCGATCACATCCTTGTACTGCGCCGCGTAGCTCAACACCATGTTCCGCTCCCGCTGCGTGTACCGGGGAGTCTTCTCCATTTTCAGCCGTTTGCAAGACGTCGTGAAGCTGGGGAAAAAGCATGCAAAATGCAAACTGAGTTAACTCTGTTTTTTGGCGCTTTGCATGTGGGGGGGTTAATCTATGGGGGAACGAAAAGCTCCACTCTGCTGTGTCCCACCTCCTGATTGCCCAGCCATCCCTCGCAATCGATCCGATCCCTCCCACACCACTACACCACCTACGCCACTCGACTAATTAATAACATAATGAAAACAACGACGCAACTGCTCCAATGGACTCCACGCCACCCACAACCCACAACTTACAAGCCACACAAACGGGCGCCTTCAGTGGGAGTGATAAGCCGAAAAAAGAGAGGAAGAGAACGCCGTGCACTGAGAAAATAAGCGGCAGTTCAGAAATATGCTAATAGCGTGGAAAACGCTTAATGATCGAGTGCATGTGCACGAACGTAGGTGAACGAGTTAGCATTGGTAATAAATACTTGGTAATTGGTAATAATTGGTAAAGATAGGTTGCTAGAGTCGCAAAGTCACACTTTTTCTTGCAGTGCGTAACCGCTACAGGTGCGATCCTGCAGGACGCTCTCCTCGGCAGCCGAAGCGGCGCTTGGGGGGCCTGGGGGCTGGAGAAGATCGAGCGGCGCGACAAGCGAGCTGAGTGCGACACTGAGCGATATCTTATCTGGAAATTGGAGATTAGCCGAACTCTCCCACACACAGGGCGCACACACACACAGAGGCACAAACGCAGGACGGAGAGCAGGAAGAGAGAGGGGTACTCACGTTTTGAGGCCGCGCCAAAGCCGGCGAGCGGGCGCAGAAAAGTGGGTGGTAGGCAGGCGAGCGAGCGAGAGAGACAGCACGAGTGGGGGTGGGGGATAGCGAACGAGCCCATCCAGCAACAAACTTCGCGAACGGCGGCGACGACGCGCAAAGCTCGACTGAATTCCAATTCCAATTCGGGCACGCTCAGAAGTACCGTTGGAGTGCAGCGACGCCGGCGATGGGCAAACAAAAATAGGAATGGCAGAAGAGGAGCGGTGCCCTTGCGCTCCTCTAGCCCCTGCTAGAAACTCTGCCCCAAGAAACACACTCCTACAAAGAGCTCAACTGTTTGCACACACACACACACGCGCACAGAAGCGTGTATGGGTGAGACGTAATTAAAGCTTGAAGCCGAGTTTACAACAACAACAAGCCGCCTCCCCCACCCCCTGCGAAGAGGCGAAGTCGAAGCAACAGCTAGAAGAAGAGGCTTAAGAGAGAGCGCGGCGAGAGAGCCAATCGGGGAAACTTGGATACTTCGGGCGGAGAGCGCCCAACACGAGCGCAGTTTATAAATAAACCTTGTTCTTTTCGCCGCTTTTCAAGCTGCAGCAAAGTAAGGGTTGAGCTGACGTGTGAGTGCGAAACGGAAGACCACATGCATGTGTGCGTGTGTGTGTGAACACGAGGTTTTAATTAATGAAAGGGTAACATAACCTCGATAGAGAAGGAGAGAAGGGGGCTCTAGTACTCGTTTCTCGAGATCAAGAAGGTAGGATACCTATCGATACAAGTCCATCGATGGGCTCGATAGTCAGGATCCTCGGGTTTTTCTTGCGAAGTTTCGAAATAAAGATGGCTAGCTGAATGGGAAAAGCCATGTTTCAGGGCTTAAGGATCAAAGATTAGAGACCATTCGGATACAGTGGGAAGCATGTGGGCAGGAGATTCGGGGGTAAGGATGGTCTTCGGTAGGAAGACGCACTACACCCACCACGACTGATCGATATGTTTATCGCAGTTTGAGCAATGAAAGCGGCATTGCTAAGCGACTGCGTCACTGTGCCCGCCGCGTCGAGTCAAGTTTAAAGATAAGATTTGAGGCAGTCTGTCTCCATAGAGCCACTATATCTATATCTGTATCTGTATCTGTATCTGTATCTGTATCTGTATCTGTGTCTGTATGGGTGCCGTTCCTATGTGTACAAGTGTGGGTTCGCTGGGTTTTGTTTCAGTCCGTTTCAGTTGGGTTTCGGCTCGGTTATCTACGAAATCCGCTGGCAGCGGGGCTTCCATTTCCATTCCAGCGTAGCAGCGCTGAGCAGTGCAAACAAGCAAAGTTTGCTTTTTGGGGACCACGATTGTGTGGCAGCACAAGCGTTGCTTAATGCGATACCTCACCTCGAGTTATCTACACACACACACACTCGCGCAAGCCGCGCAACAGGTGGAATTATTTACTGATAAGCCGCTGATAAAAGCGAGCCCAGATAGGAACGGGAAACGCGGAAAGGGGGAAAGCTGTGGGTGTGGAGTGGAGTGGAGTGGAATGGAGCTTCACCGGCTGTCATTTGGGGGAAGGGGCGGAAAGAAAAGGAAAGGAAGGGTGCTTTTGAAGTTCTAATTGGCTTTGTTTGTACGCTGATAGCACTGCAAACGCCGCACTCGCTGCAATCCACCTACCAACCCAACCCAGCCAACCAGCCCACTCCACCCAGAGAGTGCTCGAGAAAAGCCCTTCCTGGAAACCCCGGTTGCAAACGCACCTTCGTCCCACGATCGAGCTGGTGGTGCGGGCTATTCTTCTGCTCTTCCTCGTGACCAACTGGTGGCTCCTCGTAATCCGCGCGTGATTCTGCTTTCCTGCGGGATGATGCGGGTGGGGGCGAGTGCGATTGCGAGGAATACGCATTTTCCCCGAGCGTCGCCGACCGCAGCGCTTGAGTTGACAATTTTTACTACCAGCGCTACTGGCAGAGCAGCGGAATCGTGGAATCGGGCAGCGCTCACCGACCGACTCAATGGGTGTCATGTGTTTGTGAGCGTAGCAAAAGCGCTTGAAACTGCTGGCCAGCGTTGTGCAATCTGCGACAGAGTCTCGGGCGGCAGAAACGACAGGCGAGAAACGCGGAAAGCACGGAAAGCGGGGATCCAGCAGTTCCCTCAAGACCCATGATCGGACTCCAAGAAGGCCCGAGGAAGGAAGTTTGCTAGGGTTTGCTAGGCCAACGCAAGGACCCATTCACCTATGCACCTATTTTGCTATCCGAGACTCGGCCCACCAAACAATAGTGCTCCTCAGCTGTGCGCCCCGAGACTCACCTGGATTTATAGCCGGCTGCACTTTGAAATGGACTTCCTTCGTAGCCGCTGATCCTCGGCCCTCCTCCTGCGCCTCCTTCGCCTCCTTCGCCTCCTTCTCCTCCTCAATGCTCAATCGTGTTTTCTTGCACCACTGTTCTGTGGGGTTTCGGGTTTCCCAAAGCTGTATTTGTGCGATGCCAAACGAAGAACGAAACGCGCGGCTTGCTGCTCTGTGCCTCCGGTTCACGCGGCGTATGCGCAATATTTTCAACTACTTGTCCAACGTCGCTGACCGCCAGCCGTCTCTGTCCCGCTCGCTTGTGCCCCGTCTCCGTCCCACTCAGCGCTCTCTCCCGAAGACTTTGTTTTTGGGCTCTTTGTGTGCGTTTCTTCCTATTGGTTTTGATATCGTTTATAGCTGAACGCTCGTTCTGTTTTTTTCACTGCTCACAGTTGTTGCTTTAAACCTTGGACTAAAATTAAAAATACATAGAGAAGTGAATTTGTTAATACGAAATCACGCCAAAACGTAAACATAAACGGAGAAAGAGCGGGGGAAAAGCGTCGGGGAAAAGCGCAGGCACATACGCCACATGGATACACAGCACAATAAGCAACTGAAACAGATTCAGATTCGGAATCAGGAACAGAAGAAGACTTCTTGACTTGAGTTCTGCCCCGCGACGGGCGATCCAACGATTCTAGCCCTCTTATCTGGCCAGATCAGATCGGAATAGAATAAAATAGAACGGAACAGAACAGAACTGAAACCTGCCCTCTCCATTCCTCTCCTTACCAATCCTCTCCAAGGGAAAGAAGAAAAGAGCAAAACCCCTGGTTAGGCCTCATTGAAACCGCACTGAAACTAATATCTAATCTGGCTGTACGGCTACCCGGCATTATCTTATCGCCTTAAGGTGGGCTTGTGGCTCCACGACAACTTGGAAGTCGGCTGGATGACTGTTGTGACTCACCCAAGCACACAGCACTTTCCACCTGATCCGCCGGACTTGATAAGCTACGGTGAATACATACGGTTTACAGGCCACATAATGTTGGCCCATAAGGCCGAGTTTGTGGAGCCCAAGCAAGGAGCTATGTCGCTAGCTAACCAGGTTTCTATACTAAGTCTCTATACATTAAGTTCAAAGTATCTCGATGGGTTTCTTAATCATATAAGTTTCAATCACAATGTGTTTGTGTTTATGTTTCCGTTTCTGTTTATGTTTATATTTGAAGAAACGTAAAAGATCGAACATTGAGAAATCAAAAGAAGACCCCTAAGCCAGTCTGAAGATGAAAAGCAAGTTTGAGAATCCAAGGTTGTTGCAATGAAAACCTTCAGGGGCAAAGCTGGGTGTATGAAGTTGGCAAGCCCGTCTCAAGGATGCCCCCATCCCATCCCATGGAGAGGCGCAGCCATACGCCTGTATACACATACGACGTGTATAGATTCCGGAATATATACCTATGACGAATCAAGAATTCGACGAATGAAGAAGACGCAGATCTGTGCTCTGCACAATTGCAAACAAACAACGAGAAATCGAAGAAAACCAGAGGCATTCGGAGCTGGCCCTGTTCATCCGCTTTCCTCCGCGTACGCCGTACGCCGCCCACGCTCCTTGGCAAGAAAAACAAATGATGCCCCAACCTTTTGCAGCCCCCACTATTCCCTAGTATCCAATCGAAGGAGACGCGAGGCGAAAAACAATGGTCGAAGTCGAAGCGCAGAGACGAGAGCGTGCCTTACCCGATACTCGCACCCGTTACCGTTACCGTACCCGTTACCGGGTAACCGCTGCCAACCGCTTACCGTTCCGAACTGGCCCGATTCGGGATTCGAATGCTCTGCTCCGGTGTTGCTCCGTTCTTGGCCGCACTCAAAGAGCAGCCGTCGGAGTCTAATTTGATACTAAAAACGAATTCGGAATTCAGCCGCAGAATACCGAGACTCGAGCGGTCCGAGCAGCCGTCGCAGCCTGTTGGCCGCGTCTCCGAAGGTGCACGCCTCCCCCCAAACCGCCCATCACGCCCCCCGTGCCGGCCAGTCCCCGTCTATTGGGGTCGAGCTGATCGCATCGAAAAGCGCCATGAGGGGTTGGCAAATTTCCAACCGAAAGTTCTGCTCTGCCGCCGCGCATCTGTATCTGTGCCCGCTCCCGTTCTCGCCTACGAGTATCTGTATCCGTATCCGAATCTGTGCCTGTGCCTGTATCTGTGGCTGTGGCTGCGTGTCTGTCCAAGAGAAAGAAAAAGAGCGGAGCTTCGGCACATCGAATTTACATCGCACACAGTCACAAGTGAAAAACAGCGGCAGCAGATCAGCGGGACAACGGGAAAATAAGCAGGGATAAGCAGGCCTGGTATATTTGGGATCGCGTGGAATGCTATTTAAACAGGAGGTCCACTGTCGGAACTGGAGTTTCGGGCTTGGGGCGCAGGATATCAAGTTGAAATCCATTTAAAGCGTTAGTTAGTATCCAATGTTGTTAGCTTAATACTGCGTCTCAGTGGAAAGGGAGTTCCGAGGAACTCAGTTAGTTGGCTGGTCAGCTTCAGTCAGTCCCTTTCTAGACACCAACGCCAACACCTTCGCAGGAGGACATCTTCGCCAGCCGAGGAGCTCCTGGTTGTTCTCTCCGCGTACCGTGATGGGAACCAATCTCATACAATCCAATCCAATCCGACCTGATCCGATGGGATCTGATCTGAGTAGGCAACTGTACTTGGCATCTCACAACTTGGCAGCTGAAAAGTATTTCGACTTTAAAAATAGCTGCCCCAAAGTCCCACCGCGGGAGGAGGAGGAAGGGGGGAGCGGGAAACACGAGAGAGGGATCGGTTTGGATCGCTTTGGTTTGGTTTTTGGCTTTTGGTTTTTGGCTTTTGGCTAGAAGCGGTGGGCGGGCTGTGGGGGCTGCCTGGCAGATGCCTTCGTTTACAAATAGCCGCTGTTTAAGCTCTCTCGCCGATGATGGAAATTGATGGGTCCGCGCGTACGGAAAACCATATTCCACTTTCGATTTCCCATTTTCCATTTCCCATTTCGGCGTTCCCAGTTGGCGCGCTGGTGTGCGTGCGCTTTTGGAAACTCGAGACTAATGAGGTCGGCCACGTAGACGCCCCCGTGCGTCTCTCCTTGCTCTGCTCTCCGTCTCCAGCCATTGTGACCATTGCTTGTGACTTTCCCCCACCCCTTGTGACTTTCCGTAAACGGGCAGAGTGCCCAATGACATCCTGAGCTGGCCTCTGCCCCACCAGGCAAGATCAGTTGCGATTTCTGGCCAAGCACACGTCCCATTCCCTCGAACAGCTACATCAGTTGTGCAATCGTAGTTCCGAGGACTGCTTGGCTGGCTCCGGCTGGGCTGCCAGAGGAGCCGATGGCCCCGGCCCGAAAGGAGAGCGGTCTTTGGAGGCAATGGCGATGGTGATGGTGATGGCGTTGCGTTGGCAGCGTTTCTTGCCACCCGTTTGCCGCGCCCCTCGCGCCTGACGCTGCGATTTGAGTTCAAATTTATTTTTGGCAGCATCGCCGCAGCACCGCCCCCCTCGCCGCTCGTCCTCTTTTCCCGTTTTTCCGGGACTCAGGGGGGCGAGGAAGGGGGAGGCGTCGGTCCGGGTTCGGGATCGGAATAGGGATAGAGACGTAGATGGAGATGGAGATAGGAATTGGAATTGGGATCAGAGGCCCGATCGCTTGGCTCCGCCTCTGCCTGGTCTGCTCTGTTTGCGTTGCTTTATCTAGTTGGTGGGGTGTGTGTGTGTGCCTGTGTTTAATATAGGCTTCCGCCCCCTCCCCTGCAGCCGTCCAGCCCTCCTGGTTGTTTGTGTAATCCATTTAAAGGTAATTGAACTTCCCTCCCCACCTTCTGCAGGCACACAGCCCATCCCGCCGAACTAAGCCGAAGTCGAAGTCGGAGCTCTATATTTAGCCGGTGGTGCAGTGGTGCAGTGGCGGTGGCGTGGCATGGGGCTGGAAATGCAGTCGGGAAAGCGGAGTGGGTACCGTCTTCCAGGCACCAAGTGAACCTGCTCAAGACGAGCCCAAAATTAGATTCCACGGCGATCTGGGTGCAGATTAAGATCACTGAAGATCAGATCAAATCAGATTGGATTCGATCCGATTGGACCCGATTTAGATCGGAGCACATGGAAAATCGGCGATCGCAATGGGAACTTGGGAAATGAGCATTCGTTTCGTTTTTGAAGCACACTTGGAAAAATGAGACGTTGGCTGGGCGCGCGTTGCTATTTTTAGGCAAAGGCATCATCATAAAAGTTCCCCAGCCCCCTCCCCTTACCGTGCTCCAGCTTTTCCAATTTTCGTTTGCAGTTTTCCAATATTTCTCGAGAAACAGTTTTCGAAATGGTTGAACAGCGCGAGCTGATAATGGAAATGCATATAGATATGGCAGTTCTAATTCGTAAATTCGGAAATGATACTAAGAACTGCAGAACTTAAATACAAATCGAAAGCGTTCTAGTCAAAATCGAATTACGACATATTTATGTATGTTCTTATGTACTTATGTATGTAAATGTGCATATATAAGCCAGGACAATTGGGGAAGAAATACTACGAAACTGAGCTTTGGATCAGGAACTAATTTTACCGCTTCCCCCTCTCTCACTCTCTTGGTTGGAATTTCATCATCGGCTTCGGTTCGCTGCCAATCGATAACAGTTAATTCGAAAAAAAACGAAGGACAAAACACAAACAACAATAAACACGCTGGCAGAAGGAGGAAGGAAAAGAGAGAAAACTGCGACTTTGCCGTAAGCACGAGTCGAAATCAAGCGAGAGCTTTGCTCGAAGGATAAAGCTTTGGTCTGAGTGCGCACGTGTGTGTGTGTGTGTGTCGAAAGCGTGTGTTGATGTCATAAATCCGCAGAAAGAAGGACGAGAAGAAGGCGCAAACAGCTGTGCCAAGGAATCCATGCCCGAAACAAGTTCTGGCCGGGGGAGGGTGTGACTCGAAACGAATTCAATCCCGACACCAAAACCGCGTTTTCGATTTCCAAGCGCGCTCCTGGGGTGGAAAACGCACACACTCACACGCGACGCTCACAAGCACACACACACACACAGAGCATAGAAAAGGAACGGAGCTTGAAACTTCAATTGGAATCTTGAAGGCGATTACACACACATACACATACGTATGCATGGTGCCGTTATGTTGCACGATTTTGTCGAAAACTGCGAATTTACTCACGATTTCTCCCGCTCGCTCCGCTTCCTCTTGCGCGCGTCCTGACCGCACGAAACGCAACAATCACGGCGGCTCCGCAGTGTTTTTCCAGCCAATGCAGCACTTTTTCCGCACACATATGCTCTGAGCTCGACTTTCAACCTGTGCGCCTGTTTTCGAGTGGGTGGCAGTAACAGCGGCAGTGGCAGGACTCAGCGCCCCCCCCTGGCCGGGAACCAAACAAAAAGTAGAAAAAAAAGAGGAGCACTGCTCCGCACCGCACGCTCCGCGGCCGATGACAAGTAATAATAAAATCGGAATGGCAAACAACAACGAAACACAACGCAACGGCAACAACAACACTCTGGTTTCGGCGGCAGCGCGGCTGAAACGGGCCAAACGAACGCGCGACGTCAAATGCCAGATTTTGTTGTTGCGAGCGGCGAAATTCATGTGGCAGAGCGAACGTTGAGAGCGGGTTGGGGGCGGGGGAGAGCAGGGCGCCAAATTCAAATTCAAAACGGTAGCATGTCGGATCTGTTTAAAGTGCCGTCGCTGGAAAACGTTCTACACTGCATAGGACGCTTGGCACTGTGATAAAAATAAACATAAAAATGCATACAAAATTGCAGAATAGGGTGAGATAAGCGCCATTGGCGATACCACCTGTATCGCGTTATGTTTACACACAATTCGAATATTTTTCGTCTTTTTATACAACAGAAGACTTTCCAGCTGGTTTCAGTGCTGCTTAGGCCTCCCGTCCGCCAGGTGGCAACGCCGAGCAAGCGACAGTGTTGTGCAGCGCTCGCTCAGAGTTTATAAACAAACATTAAACGCATACGCAGCAAACGGAACAACCAGTTGGACACCCCAGACCCTGCCCGCAATCTAATCGCTGCGAGAGTCTCCGTGTTACGCATCTGCATCCGCCCCCGCACTGAATCCCAATCCGCAATGCTGAAGATCGCCGCCGAGGGCATCGCGCCACGTCTGGCGGCCTGTTGCTCGATTGGAGCAAAGAGCAGCGGCCAAAGAATGGCGCCCCAGGCGGCCAGGGGCACACAGAAGTACCTGTCGCAGTCGCAGCACCTCCACAAGAAGCTGGTCATCAAGGACCACTACGAGTTCGATCAGAAGGTGAGTCAGGATTATGCAACGGAACAGAACGCGATGGGATGGGTTGGGAGGTATGACCTTGCGCCGCTGGCGTACGTGCTTGGGTTTGGGTTACTGGGCGGCAGGGGTGCATGGTTTACGGGGGGAGGGGCCGGATCCACCCCATGACGCATTTGGCCGTGGACCCGTCCATAGATACAAACATACATACATAAATGTGCGCACACTCGCCTCCGTTCTGTTTTCGATTTTGTTTTGGGCCCGTGCTCGTGTATGTAAATGAGGCCCAAAACATTGGATACCGGTTTGAACCCCTTTCAGCCAGCCGCTTAGTCCGCCAAGAAAGTGGGGGGGCCCAGCTGCAGAAGACCCTCCAGTATATCGCTCCATGGCCGAGTTATCAATTGCAGTCGGATTAGGCGAGATAAGAGGAGAGTGCGTCACACACGCACACATTTTGTAGGCTCCCCAGTAGACATCCCGCCATTATTTAAGGAGCAAACACAGCAATCTCGGAGTAACCGGAATGTAAAAAAAACTACTAATATGGGCAGTGCTACAATTGTATGAATCATTGTATGAAAAACTGCAGTATTCTGCTGGCAATTAATCTCTTACTCACCTCGGCACCCGCAGATCCATTTCTCATTTTTCGCAATGACGTTATGCCTATAAGTGAGCTGCTGGCATACTCGAACAAGTGACGTAATGGCCATGACAATGAAGTGCTTCCTAAGCTCCGAGCAGAGCACTCAAATTGTAGAACCAAATGTAACCATCTATAATCTCTTGTTCCGCAGGTGATCAACAGCGACAACCCGGTGATCGTGAACTTCCACGCCGAGTGGTGCGACCCCTGCAAGATACTCACGCCCAAGATGCTCGAGTTGCTGGAGAACTCGAACGAGATCGACCTGGCGGTCATCGATGTGGAGACGAACCTGGATCTCGTGGAGACTTTCGAGGTGAAGGCCGTGCCCGCTGTGCTGGCCTTCAGGAACGGCGTCGTGGTGGACAAGTTTATTGGCCTGGTGGACGCCAACAGCATCGAGACGCTAATCGACAAACTGAAGCGGAAGCAACAGCAGAAGCAGTAGTGAGTTGTAGCAGCGATGCAGAGATGGATTAGATCAGGGATGCTATGATTTTACACATGAAACAGGAGACTGGAACTGCGATATATAGCCCAATGCGGAGGCAGGATTTGCGATCATCGATGCTGAAAGAATTTTGTGCACAAAATACCTTAATATGCAATAAAACTAACTTTAATTATGGCTACTTTTAAGTGACACTTTGTCCACAGTCGATTTAGAATATTAATGAATCGCTTTATTGTTTGGTTCATACAGATACATAAAACTTGGCCCACATCTGGTTGTAATCCGACAGCTACCCCAGACGAGGTTCCAATTACAATTCGTTAGGCATAATACAAATACATCCACGTGCACATGCGGTTTGGATAATAACTCAACTTGTTTATAAACAGAAATCGAAATAGAAACAGAACAGTACAGTACAGCAACGGATCGATGCCCGCCGACCGGGCGGAACCTACAGACTTAAACTAACCGGAAGCGGAAATGGATGCGTTAAAGCGGGTAACGGTAGCATAGCGGCAACGGCGGTTGGCGGGAGTCTGAGTTCAATAACATTTTATGTGGATTACACAGCCGCACAAAGGGAAGCTGGAGTCGTAGGCCCAACCTCTAGTTTCGTCCTCCTAGTAGGGGGCGGGCGATTTTAGAAATCTATTCAGTCCTGCTACCGATAATTGCACATTGGGGTTGCCTTCTCTTACGTTTGTGTGGCGGCAACAGGACTACGTGTTAATTAGGATCTAGTTTTATTTGGGGGCTCGAAAATCGGACAAGGGGCACATTCCGAATCGAAATCGAGGCAGCTGCTTTGTTGCTGCATTGTTCGATTCCGATTGAAATCAGCAGTGGTTGGGACGAATTCAAGAACTTAGTCGGGTCAGGGATCCGTGGAACCCCGAACTCCACCCAGCTTTCCTTTGTGTGGCTGTGTCTTCCGGGCAATGGTCAATCCTCAGGGCGGTCCGGGTGCGGATCGCCAGCCGAGAAGATCCCATCCAGTCCGCAGCGGCCGACGGCGGTCACCTCATCCTCAGCGAGCCAGTTGAATGATCAGGGCGGCGCACATTTCGAAAAACTCCATAGTGTGATGCCCGGTCGGCTGCAGCGGCATAACCCCGGACACGCTAAGCGGCGGCGGAGTAAGGCTCTCCATGATGACGTCGTCGCCCTGCTCGACCTCGTCGTTGGTCAGCGACTTGAAGTCGAGCAGATAGCTCTTGGCATCCACCTGGTACAGCTGCAGTGACATCTTCGAGAACTTGCCGGTCTTCACGTTCTGCCTGCGCACCCGAACGTGGTACGGATTGATGATCTTCCACTCGTAGCTGAGTGCCTTCATCGCCCGGTACACCTCGAGCATTATGTCGTTCGGCTTGCTCTGCGACCGGATGCCCAGATGCCACTTGGCGCGCTTGATGGGAGTACCGCCACGCGCGGTTTTCTCCGGGAAGGCTCCGCCGCCAGATGTCTGCACGGACATGGCCAGTTGGCGGTCCCGCATCGGCGCAATCCGCTCCGGATGCGGTCGTATGGGGATGGTGCCGCTAGGGGTGCCTCCAGCCACGGGGGGCACTGGTGTGGCGGTGCCCGAGCTGGCTGCAGTGCCTCCGCCCACGGTCACGGTGGCCAGAGGGGCTTGGTGGTCCATCGATGATTGCGGAACGGGCGGAGGCGGCGGCGGTGGTGGCGAGCCGGCCACGAAAAAGTTGTTGATCTCGTTTATTTGGTTGGCTGCGTCATCGGCGAAGCGTTTGTTGTCGATAATCAGATGGTAGGCGATGGCCAGCTGATCGTGCGGATCGCCGCTGAGCAGGGAGTTGTGAACCTCGGTCTCCTTGACGCCGAACTTGGTGCAGACCTCTGCCACAGCGTAGGTGTCGATCACATTGGAGTCCTGCTCGATGGACGAGGGGAAGAGGTAAGCGGGGAGGTCCTTTTGGAACCACTCGTGCTTCTTGATCTCCTCGATGTTGGCCCGCTTGAGCGGGTCCACTTGCAGCATCTGGCAGACCAGGTTGACCACTTGTTTGTTGAGGTACTCGGGAATCGGGAAAATGCCCGACTTGATCTTGCGGAACAGCGTGGGCACGTGCTCGTCGTCAAAGGGCAGCGTCCCGCACAGCAGGGCGTACAGGATGACGCCGCACGACCAGATGTCCACCTCAGGCCCGGCGTACAGCTTGCCGGAAATCACCTCAGGCGCCGCGTAGTTGGGCGAGCCGCACGAGGTGCGCAGGAACTCGCCATCGAGCATCATGTTCGAGAGCCCGAAGTCGGCGATCTTCACGTGCATGTTGTGGTCGAGCAGCAGGTTTTCCGGCTTCAGATCCCGATGCACGATCATGTGTCGGTGGCAATAGTCCACGCCCGAGATAATCTGCTGAAAGAAGCGGCGCGCCTGGTGCTCCTGCAGCTTTCCGTGCTTTACAATGTAGTCGAACAGCTCGCCGCCGCTCACGTACTCCATGATCATGAAGATGTCCGAAGGCGTGGAGATGACCTTTGGGGAGTTACGGAAGGTTTAGCAAACACATTTATATTAGCTATTGGCTGTAGTCGGCCCTAGGTTCCCTAAGTTCTGCTTAGCCCTGGCTTCTCCAACTAATCTAATCGGAAAACCTCGGGCAAATGTTCTCGTAGAACCAGACAACTAGGCAACCGGAGTTGACTCCTCTTGCATATTCCTTCGGAAAGGTATTTCCCACATCGGTTTGCAGGAGATCCTTTTTCTGTTTATTTACCATAGGCTTGCATTTTTGTTGTGATGATCTGGCCAGTGCCCCAGATTCCGCAAATGGTCCACCATGACCGTAGATAAGCAGCAGACCATACGACACCTCCAAACTATTGTTATGGAAAAGCTATTTCCTACTTTGGGCTTGTCCTCCTGCCTGTTTTGTTTATTTGATTTCATTTCTTTGTTATGAAAATCTGATTGGCGTACTTCGCATTGGAAACCAGTGGCCCAGTTTCCTGGGAACCTTTTGTCTCCGGTTACCATGTACCTAATTGTATACCCTGTGTATAATTGTATACCCTGTGGGAAACCAGCCGACTTAATTTGTAGCCATAAACTCACCTGGTATAACTTGATGATGTGCGGATGGCGGAAGAGCTTCAGGTTCTGGATCTCTCGCCGGATCTTGCCCACAACGTCCAGGCTCTTGATCTTCTGCCGATTGAGTATCTTGACGGCCACCTTGACGCGGGTGATCTGGTGCTCGCCGATCTTCACCTTGCCGAAGGTGCCAGTGCCCAGGGTGGCGCCCAGCAGGTAGTGCCCGATCTTGACTAGCGGCTGGCCATTGGCGCTGCCGGCGGCCACCGCCTCAGCGGCCGCAGCCCTCATCTGGGGCATCTCGAGCAGGTAGCTCCTTGGTGGACTGGGGGTGCTCCACTGCTCCGCTGCGGAGAGGCGCGGGGAGGGGGAGGGTAGCGGTGGTAAGGTCGTTATCGGTTATTGCGTAGTGTACTCCGCTGAATCAACAGAATAGAATAGAATAGAACAGAGCAGCCACTCACGTTATGTTCTTCCTGCCAGCCGTGCCACCTCGCCCGGATGCGGATGTCGATGTGGATGTGTCAAGGGCGTTGGTATTGATACTGATTTCCTTGTTTAGTGTTCGAGAGCGGCACCGAGACTCTCCTTTTCGCTTGGCTTTTCTTCGCGTTTTGCTTATTTAATTGACATTGGAAGGCGCTGGCACTTCCAACAACAGTGCCTTCCAACAACACTCGTTCCAGCAGCTGATTTGCGACCTCTCTCTCTCGCCTTCCAGTGGCTATCGATAAGTGGCTGGCCAGTGATGCCAGGTGGTTCACACAATGGCGCGCAATTTCAAACCTTTTTTTTCTTCTTGGCTTTTGCTGAAGTAAAAAATATAATAGCAATAATACCTACACTTGAAACATTTAAAATAATTTAAATCGCCGCATACGAGCAAGCCAAAATGCTAGACTCAAAACTCTTTATGTCCAATTGAAAGCGAAAAGATGTTGCATTGTGATTTAAACACACATTTATTACACCAATTTGATTTTTTGGATCCACTCCACGCGCATTATTAAGCCAGAAAGATGCCTCTTGTGTGCTGCGTGACCATTAAGTGTACATCAACATTCAATATAGATTTTCAAGAATACGGCTCTATAAATTCTCAAAGACTCATGGTAAAATTCAGTTTGTTCACAAATATGCGTGTGTAAGTCTAAAGGTTTGTATTTTTCTTTTTCGTTTGTAGTAAAAGGCTGCCACAGCTTCTTGTTTTCACCTTTCGAATAGACCCGCTTAAGGACTAGTATGTAATATTGTGTATAATATACGTACGTAAATACGTTGATTAGGATTTCAGCTTAGCGAAAATTGAACATTTTAACTATTTATTTGCTTAGCCTAACATCAATTTACAACAATATATCGTCAACCTTAAGCTCTGTTCCGCACTGTACTGTGCTGACTGTACCTCAAAGCTGATCTTCTCTCTCGCTCTCTTTCGCTGAGGCAGCATCGCACCATCTCGGTCGCAGGCTCGGCTCAAGAATTCAATTTGTTTGTTTATTATAAACATTAGAATTTAAGGTTTAAATACATGTATTTCTTCCGCGCGTTAAGTTTATTCTGAAAAAAAAGTCACCTTAACTATGATAATGCTACGAGACTAGGATTTACGTTTAGAGATTATCAATACTAAAAAAAAAATTAGGGACCTCTGGGTCCCACGGGTATGCTGGTTGGAAAATTTCAAGTTTATTTCATATTCAGCCATCTTCTTGTCGGGTTTTTTGTTGCAGGTTTACGGCAATGCGGGTGTTTATACATTCATATATATTATCTAATATATAGTTGTTTGCATAGTGTGGTGTTCTTGGGTTGTTGGTAGTACATCAATAATTTATTTATGTATAATGTAGTAAAAAGCAAGTGCCACGGACGAACCCTTGTTGGTGACGTTCCTTAAGAGTCTACAAATTAACCATCTATTCGAAGCAAGCGTCTTCGGTCCGTTGTCGTAAGGTCCGTCTCCCTATATCGTTGTCTGTACCGTCCGTCTCACGGTGTCCGGCCGGAATTATCGCCACACCCTGGGGCTAGTAACCGTGCAGTTACTCAATTCGTCTGCGGTGCCCAATCCATCGAGAACGAAGATTCGATCATAAATTGGAGAGGAATGGGACTGCAGGGAAGTTATATTTGAGTTTGGTTTGTGTTCTCGTCTCGTATTGAGTTGCTACTGGTTTGCGTTTGGGGCTTTGTATGCTCCTCATACAAATCAATTGGAATTTTTTTTCGCATTTGCTTTGAAATTCGCATAGTTATGCTAACATCCTATCTTTACCGCGTTAATCAAATCGTTAATCAAGGATTCGACTCCGGCCTTCTTTATATATGTGTGTGTGTTGTTGGGGATTTTGTGGGCTGGTTTACTTTGGAACATTATTTCTTACATCTTAATACACGCTATGCATCATCAACTTGCTTAATTCTGTGATAGTGTTCTTTCGGTACTGCTCATGCCTGCCGTGCGCCTTTTGTTTGCCTCTTGCTGCCAATGCTTGGACTTGCTATTCCTGGCCAGTATGGTTTTGGGTTATATAGTATGGTCTCAACCGATCCTGGCTCTCTGACATGGATATACATATATGGATAACGAAATACATACATACACATAGAGAGAGCGAGAGAGTTGGCTACTATTCGGTATTTCTTTTGGGTTATATCTCCCTTCCTCCTCCGATTTCACTGGATATATTTCTGCTCGCTGCTACCACTGCCTACGCATCCGCCACCGCCCTTCTTCGTCGTCTCCGTCTGCCAGCTGGTTCTTTGGGCAACCAGCGTCTTGGCATCCTTCTCCTTGGTAGCTAGTAATTGAGTTGACCGATCCTCCTTTTCGTTATTAAAACTCATGCGCGGTCCACTCACTTTGGACTTGTGAACTGGCTATGTCCATTGGAACAGAAACAGAGATGGGAACCGTGCCATATACTGGAACGTACACGGCCAACAGAGCTGGGTAAGCCGAAAAGGGCGTAGCTGGCGAGGAGAGGGAAGCGGCTGATGGATGCCTTGCGGCTGGGAAGTAGAGCGGCACTAGGTAGTCGGAGTGGGATTGGGATCTAATACCGAATGCGAAATATATCTGATGGTTATTCTGGAGGCTCACGGGCGGCGGTTCAAACTGAATCTGCTGCTGCAGTTGATCTTGTTGTTCTTGTGGGGGCTGTGGCAATTGCCATTGCCTACGGGATGCGGCTGGCTGGGGAATCGGCTGCAAATCGGCAATGGCAGCATGAACACTTCACCTGTGAGATGCAGCTAATATCGTGTAAAGAAATTAATGGCGTTTAAATAAATTTCTGTGCATGGTTATATGGATGCGGTTTTTGAGATCGTGTTGTTCTATTTGATCTACCTCTGTGCGCCATGTGGTGGAAGCCACCACCACCGCCTCCACCGCCGCCGCTGCCGCCACCACCACCGCCGCCGCCTCCGTGGATGGGCATGCCCATGCCCATGCCCATACCCATGTTAACGCCCATGCCCATGTTCATGCCCATCGGGTGCATTTGCTGCATGTGGTGCGGATGCGGGCCGCCCATGTTGTGGTGGTTGTTGGGGTGATTGTTGTTGTGGTTGTTGGGATGGTGGTGCTGCATGTGGTGCAGCGGCGGATGGTGTTGTGGATGTTGGTGTGGATGCTGTGGCTGATGATGATGTGGCGGCATATGCGGATTATGGTGGTTGTTGTGATGGTGATTATTGTGGTGATGCGGCGCGTGCATCGGTCCACCTGGACCCATGTGCGGCGGACCACCGCCTCCGCCACCATTGCCACCTCCGATCTGGGCCATAAACTGGGCCGCCTTGGCCTTGCCGTGTTCCTCTGCAAGACGCACCCAGATTGGCTGGGATCCGCCCTCCGGCACCGTGTTGTTCAGCGCCTTAATCGCCTCTTGCGCCTCCTCACGCTTATTGTAGCTGCAAGCAAGAGAGCAGGTTTCAAATGGGGAATCTATGTAAGTGTAGTTGATCCATCAATCGAACTCGCGATTAATTTGGTCGTGATAATAGTTTCAACATATGTTTCACCAAAAATCTCTTTCACTGAGCACACAATTTAGTAGGTCTGGACGCGAATCGAGCACTGTGACCTAATTTCAAATCACTCCCGCAGATCGCACCCCGTACTCACCGCACAAAAGCGACGCCACGCGGTCGTCCAGTCAGCTTGTCCCGCAGGATGTTGCGCTGAACAATCAGGCCGTAAGGCGAGAAAATGCGGTCGAGCATATCGTCGTTGATGTTCCGCGATAGGTTGATGACGTACAAATTCGTATCCTTGATGGACTGCCCACCGGGTCGGGCATACGACACCTAAGGGAAGCAAAAAAGCGTCACAACGGAGCCATGGGAATTCGAGAGGCTTATAACGCACCTTTAATCGCTTGTTGCGCACATAGAAGCCATTAAGCTTCTGGATGGCGTCCTCTGAGTCCGACTCCGTTTTGTAGTCCACGAAGCCGTAACCGAAGCTATATCCGGTCTGTTCCGTTGGCGGGCATGCGAAGAAGAGGGGATTGTAAGCTGCATTCGTGTGTATGCAATGTGCGACAGGGATGGCACCTGTGACGTGCAATTCACCTGGTATCCCGGGCAGCCAGGTACCCAGGCACCAACAACCGAACTTACCTTGAAGTCCCGCATAATCTTGCAGGTGTTGATGGGCCCGCAGCCGCTAAATAGGTTGTACAGCTCGCGATCGGTCATGTCCTGCGGCAAATAATTAATGATCAAATTGGTGGCGCTGGTGCGGTCCATTTGCTGCATCTGCATCTGTTGCTGCTGTCCTGAGGAGCCATTGTTGCCCTCGTTACCCTGGCCGTGGTGTTGCTCCTCGTCGCCAGAATGCTCCTGGCCGTTACCATCGTTGTCGCCTTCGCCATCGCCATTGCCATCCCCATCCTCCTGCTGCATGTTGCCGTTGCTGTCGTCGTCATCGTCGGTCCCATCGTCACGGCCCACATTATCGCCAGAATCCTGCACCGCAGCAACGAAAAGAAAAGACGGGTGAAAACAGCTTCGTTAAAATTTTCCAAAAACTCACCTCTATGTCGGAGGACTGCTTGTCATCGTGCTCCTGGCCCTGCATCTTCTCCGCGTTGGACATGTCCTTCTGTGTCAAGTCTTGATAGCTCCTGTTTGTCTGTTTTTCGCGTGTTTGCGTCGCAGTTGGCGCCACAAGCTGCAACGATACAAGAAAGTGCAAGTTAATTATCTCGCGAAGCAGCTAAAGAGGGATTCCAATTGGGAGTCGGAGCAGGGACAAGCGATAGTCCTTGTTGCGCGGCTGTCGAATGCGGATTGAGCGCAAATCCGGACTCGGGACTCCGGAACTGCAATTCCTCTCGGCAAAATCGGAATCCGAATATGTGTGTGTACATCTCGGCAGTCGATACAACGACCAGAATCGAAGGGGGACGGCGCACGATTAGCTGGAATGCGGATGCAATTGGTAGCCCGCCACTGCCCTCCCCTGGCATTTTTGGGGGATCCGTACCCGGGAGTCCCTGCGCTCCCCGCAAAACTAAGGAAAAGCTGCTGGAAAAGTAACTACCAACACGAAGTGCACCAACACACGCGCACTCTCGCATACAAAAACGCACACACATACACACCGCGATGCGTGCGCATTAGTTGGCTTGGGGCCGTGCAGCCGAAAAAAGCAACACTGAAGAGCGTCGGGAACACGAAGTCCGCGGGAAATGGCCACCGGTGGCCAAGAAAATACTCCGCAGGTGCAAAATACTCACTTTTCAGCAAACGGCTTCACTAACTGCACCGGAAAGCAGCGGGAATTGTGCACTTTTTGCGTTTTCAAACGATTACCATCGGTGTCAATTGTTCTTCGATATCGGGGGCGATTTGTATCGGAACCTATCGGGGCCAACAACTTTTTGATAGTTCGATAACTCATACTGAAAAACCAAAAGTATTTTTATACCATTTTCAATTATTGTTCAAATGTTTAGTTTTAACGTTACTTTATGGAATAGCAGTTATACCAAAAACAATTTTTCCCCAAATTTGAACTGTGAAATATACCAAAACCCACAAATACCATTAGCGGCCGTGCTGCGATGAATTGCAATAGATCGTTATCGAAGTTCGGCTGAGAAGTTAAAATACACTGTAAAAAATACGATACGTCTGGGGGGAAATATATTGGTCAAGAATGTTGCAATCAAAAAGGTCAACCAAAAGATCTCTGGATTTGGATGGTACTCTATACTCTAGGTCATTATTAACACATTAAGCTTTATTAACACAAAAAAATTAACGTAGCAAATTCTTAAATGCTAACGAAATCCCTACAGCTCATTTGGCATTTCCGATTCTGATAATCCAAGTCCTACTCGTGGTGCGAGTAGTGCTCATAGTGCTCCGAGTGGTGCACCGGCTCCTCGTAGTGGCCGTGCTCGTGGTGCGACTCGCTGTGGTTTTCGAGGACCAGTCCGTGGTTGTGGTTATGCTCGCTCTTTGGGTGCAGGATCTTCAGCTTCTGCTTGGTGCCGCCGATCTCGATGGGCTTCTTCACCAGGTGCTGGTCCTCCTTCTTGATGTAGACGGGCACGGCGTGGTAGTGGTGGAACTTGACGCTCTGGTGCGAAGTGGCGTGCTTGTGGTCCACCTCGTGGTGCAACTCCGTCTCCTCGTGCTCCGGCTCGTACTTGACGTGGTGCTCCGGCTCGTGGTGCTCGTACTCCTCGTGGCCCTGGTGGTAGTCGTGGATCTTCAAAGCTCCACTCACGGCTAGAAGGGCCAGGCAGGGAATCTGCAGGAGTAAGTAATGCAATCAATGCAGTAATCCATTTGATATTTGCTATGTAAAATAACAGCACTTTTAAAGAATTAACTTAAACGTATTGTATAAAATCCTGTCGAACATTTTAGACTTTTTAAGCTACCTCCAAATGTGAAGACTTCGTACAATACGCTTTTGCTAAACACATTGCTGCAGGAATCTACGAAATTAGGAAGTTTTTATTGGGTTTTTGATGTTCCTTATTGGTTTCAAAACTTCCATTTCATAGAAGGAATCTATCTTTTTAAGGAATTTCGGTTTGGGGTATTCAAATTTCGGTGCTTACAGCCAACTTAAGCATGGTTTTCTGGATGTTTTGTATCACACACTGAGGCACAGTCAAAAAATATTCGAAACTGTAGTCCGTTACGCGAAGTGCTCCTCTTGGCAGTGGCAAACTGAATGTGGCTTTGCGTTCGGGACCAGATTCGATTTATACCCGGTTTGGGCCAAAGCCAACCAAAGCTGGCGAACCTGTGTAGCTGTAGCTAGTTGCGGCAGGCGAAATGTGAAATGTGCAACAGCAGCCACACAATGGCAACACACGGCAACGAACTTCAGACTGTTGTTGTAATTTATGACCGCTGCCTGCCACAATTGTTTTGGAAAATTTGGAAAATAGGTGCGTGCGATAGTGGTTCAATTAAAGCGGATTACGTATACGGCATGTGGCCTTTGCTGCGGCGGTGGCCAGTTTCCTGCGCAGGAGAAACCAAAACCCGTTGTCAATCAACGGGTTAACAACCACCTAACTGGAAAACCAGTTCGATGCAAGTGCAAGGCAATTAGACGGTCATAGATAACCAAATGGATAGCCAAAAAGTCACAAAACGGGAAGAGAGGTCCATTGTAATAGATCAATTTTGATCACTGTCGAATTCTGGCCCTTATCAATGATAGGCTCTTCTGAAGTCCCAGAATAAACATACACAAATGTATGTACCTAGGCTAGTGGCATCGATCAGCGGGGAAGTTCTATAAGTTATCAGCCTTGCCTATCGTTGCCCCAATCCTGACGATAGCCACCGATAGACAACTTCCCGATTGCTCTCGACAGCTCACTGGATGGGCCAATCCCTGATGATTAATGACGGACGAATGATGGATTGAGATGAAGAGAAGGGATTTTCGCAATCCCCACTGCAAGCTGCATGTGCCGGGTGAAAGGTGCGTCCACTCCGATCGATAAACGAACGGAGTGAGCAATTAAAATGCAGTACATTAGATAATGACTTCGGCGGCAGGTTAACGACTCCACTTGGGAAGCTCGCGAATTGCATAGCCCAAAACCCAATTCGTTCCGAAAGCCAAGATATACTACAACTTGGAGCGATTTACTGGGTTAGTGTGCTCTGGGCGGGCACGAAATGGCGGCTGTGTGCACATATAATCGATTTGAAAAGTAAAAGTAAACTGCTTTCCCAGTCGCACGATTTGCATAACAGCCACAACGCCACCACTCTAGTCTGCAAAGCCCATGTCCGACATGTACCCGACATGTCGAGCAGTTTTAATTATCAATCTGGCGATAAATCTCCTTATATAACGCTCGTATTGACAGGAAGAGCCGCCTGCCAAGTCTGCTAATCAAAATCAAAGGAACAGCGCCTTTACTCCGTCCATCGGTTCAGTAAAGGTTTGTTTCCTAGACCTAGATCCCACTTTCGTTCCGTTTGCTGTATTGATTTCTATTGCCTTTGCATTTTGTCAATTTGATGGCTAAAACGTAAATGTAAATGTACTTATTTCACTAATTTCATATTTAAATATGATCTATCTTACCATTGAATAGCCCTTTTATATGGCCTGAATATGGAATGTCGTTGAGCTCGTAATTAAATTTCCAATCGAACTGTATCCAAAAATAGGATATTCCACTTTGTATTCCATTTTGTATACGAATAAACATAAAAATATATGTCCCTTTCAGTGTAGGGTAATCAATTTCTTAACAAGAATTTTATATTGTATTTTAAATATTTTGTATGAATAAATATTTTAAAATAAATATTATAACATTTCAAACACTTGTATGAATAACATTCGTCCGGTTATTTGTTCAAGAGGGATGCCAATTTGATCTTGCAAGTAATCCCACTTAAGAACACATACACTACACTCAATGCTCGACCGGTAGGAGAGGTTACTTGAACTATTTTGCGACTGTAAATTAGAAGACATCCCTTACAGTCTTCACTAGAACTAGTTGGGAATTATAGGGCTACAAGAAAATATTTTTCCTAACACATACGTACATACATACATAAGTACGTACATACATACATACATACATACATACATACATACATACATACATACATACATACATACATACATACATACATACATACATACATACATACATACATACATACATACATACATACATACATACATACATACATACATACATACATACATACATACATACACATACATACACATCCATACATACACATACATACACCCATCGGTACATACATACTTACATACATACACCGGTACATACTTACATACATTCACCGGTGCATACATACATACACCGGTACATACACTACACTCACTGCTCGACGGGTAAGAAAGATTACTTGCAATATTTCGTGACTCTAAATTAGAAGACATGCCTTACAGTCCTCACTAGAACTAGTTGGGAATTATAGGGTTACAAAACAGAAAATGTGTTTCCTAAGCATATATTAAAAGCGGCAATTACTATGTGTTTCAACAGTAAGTTAACCATTCTTCAGGCTTTATTAAAGACAATTTTGAAATGTTTTAATATTTATTTTAAAATATTTATTAATAATAATAATAATAATAAATAATAATTAAATAATAATCTATTATGTCATAATTATATTAGTGAGTGAAATAGTGAGGTCTTTTAAGTGAGTAGTAAAAATTGTCTTAAATAAAGCCTGAAGAATGTTTAACTTACTGTTGGAACACATAGTTATTGCCGCTTTTAATATTTGTTTGTCATTCGTCTTCGTGCGTCGCAGACTACACATTTTATAGCGTACGCCATCCGCTATGAAGGCACTGAGCTACCCGGAGTGATCAGGTACCTTACCTTATGGTCATTTTAACTCGATCACTTTTACCCGGTATCGCTTAGGAAATCAGAGTGACCGAGGGGAAAATATAAAAAAAAAAATCGCAATATCGATATTTGGGCAAAAACAATATCACGATATAAATATAAAATTTTCAGAAAAAAATATTGATATATTGATATATTATCAACAACCCTACTGCGCACTCGAGATGGAACTGGGTGACTCCAAGCTGCGTGCGGTCCGGGTGCTGGGACAGGGCACCTTTGGCCGGGTGTTCCTCTGCCACCAGAACGGGGTGCGCGGCCAGCCGGACAGGAAGGTGTGCGTGAAGAGGATTATCGTCCGGAATCCCAAGACAGAGCTGGGACTGATCAAGGAAGAGGTGTACATCATCTCGCAGCTGCGCCACCCGCACATCGTCGAGTTTCTGCGCTCCTTCAGCCACGCGGGGACAGTGAACATCGTGATGGAGTACGTGCCCAACGGAACCTTGAGAGATGTCATCCAGCAGCTGCCTTCGGGCACTGGGGGAGTCCATCAGGAGCGGCTGTTGCGCTACTTCCGCGACATGGTAGTGGGGCTCGAGTATCTGCACATCCGCTGCGTCATTCACCGGGACATCAAGCCCGAGAACATGCTCCTCGACGCCAACGACCGAGTCAAGATCGCCGACTTCGGGATCGCGAACGTCCATGCGCCCAGCACTCAACTGCAGGCGGGCATGGGCACGCCTATGTACATGGCCCCGGAGGCGATGTCTAGCCAGGGCAGGGTGGACTTTAAGTCAGACGTGTGGTCGTTGGGGCTGGTTCTCTACGAGCTGTGCCTCGGACGCAGCCCCTTTGCCGCGTTTCTCGACAAGAACGCCACCCCTGCCGTACTGCATACCGTAGTGCAGACGCTGGTCCGTCCCCGGCTTGACTGCCAGCTCATTCGGCGTCTCTACGATCCCGTGTGGGCGCAAGTTTGCGAACTGATGGTCGTCTACGAGCAGGAGCGCCGTATTTGCCTGCCGGACATCTTCCATCTCGACGCCAGAATGACTGTGGCACTCTACAAGCAATACTTCAGCTACAGCTACTAACGGAGGCGAATGGTCAGCTGGTCTGCGTAGGAAAACCTCAACAAATATTTAATTGTACTCTAAGAACTAGGATAATTTAAGTTTTGTATGCCCTTGTGCTTTTACCAACTATTTTCCTCCATTTTCCAAAAACAGTCTCATTGAATGTCATAAACGTAGTCTTTAATTTACATCTGTCTACCTAATGTACATTAATCCTCTAAAGCTTCTGGCCCTGCTGCTGCAGCTGGATCTTACGCTTCAGGCTCTTGACCAAGGCGTTCTGCTCCAGCTGCTGTTTACTCCGCTTGGGGGCTACCTGCTCATCCCCATCCGCATCTCCATTGGCAGCGCCGCCCTCCACCTGCTCCTTCCTGCGCTTTAACTTCTCGCCGATGATCTGCTGCATGCCCTTGGTGGCCTTGTAGTGGGAGTGGGTGGGATCGATGTTGAACTCATGCGACTTGTAGACGGCCTTGAAGCGGTTATCATTCAGGTTCACCTGGAAGTCGTCGTCCAGCTTCTCCAGATTCTGTGGCTGGTTTTTCGATTTCTTCAACTGCTGACGACGCTTTCGCTTTGAACCGTTCGCTTCCTGCTCTTCCTTCTTGAGGATTTTGGTCAGGCTAAAGTGCTGCTTCTCGTCGCGCCCATCGCCATCGTCCAGCAGTAGCTCCAACTCCTTCTCCTGCTGCTTCGCCTCGACATCCTCCTCTCCATCGGTCTTTCCCTTCTTTTTCTTTTTCTTCTTGTCCTGCTTGGTCTTAGGAGGAGCGTAGTCTCCATTGGCGAACTCTTCGGCGAAGTAGGCGTCATTCAAATCGATGCCATCGGGCACCATGGATTCGTCACTGTCCTCACCGGGATCTCCTCCCCTCGCTTCAATCTGGCGCTGACGGCGCTGCTCCTTGCGCTGCCTGTTCTTCTCGCTGCGTTTCTGGATCACCTTCTCGATGGGCGTGAGGTCCGCTTGGGCTTGCTGCTCTGGTTGGTCCTCTTCTTGCTGGGGCTCCACGTTCCACGTCATTTCCATTTCGTACTTCTGCTCCTTCTCCTGCTTTTCCTGCTCCAGTATATCGGCCAGTAAGTTTTTGTAGGCGGCAATGCGTTCTTGCTTGGAAGGCTTCTTAGGCTTGCTCTTCTGCGGGTCATCTGAAAGCCTCTCTTGAGGTATCTGCTCCGCCGAGGACTCTTCCCCTTCAGAATCCTCTTCTTCACTGCTGTACGCTACTATCTGGCGCAGCTCCTTGTCCGTGAGCTTGTCAACCTGCCCGCTGGAGAGTTTGTCGCCCAGCTCACGTCGGTCCAGCGCCGTTTCGTCCCAGGTTAGATCCACCTTAGCCTGCTGCAACGCCGTGGTGGTGAACTGGCGCGGCTTATAGCTGCTGGCATCCGGCAGCTCGAAGCATTCATCCGACGGCGTGTCCTCCTCGAACGAAGTGTCGTCCGGGATGAACCGCAAGTCCACGCGGGTGGCGGAGCTCTCGTACTCAATACCATCGCACTCCTTGTAAACTTTGTCGGCCGTGTCAATGCTGTCGCACTCCACAACAGCGTAGTAGTAGCGAAGGCGGTTTAGCTGATACTGACGCAATTTTTCCATGTGGTAGTCCTCCCCCTCTTCGGCATCGCTGTCCTGCTGACGTACCAGCTCCTCATCCGAGTCGTCTTCTGGCTCATTGCGCTCCACCAGTTCCTTTGGACCGTGCACTTCCTCCTCGGCCATGCGCTCCTTCCCGAACTCTGAGGGGTATATCTTGACGCTGAGGATGCTGCCGCCGGGCGGCAGGAAGGAGCTGAGCATAACCATTAGATCCTCGGCCCGGATGCGGTCCCAGTCCATGTTGCAAACAGCCAGGCGGCGTGTGCTCTCCTCGGTGTGCTCGGCATCGTTGTCCAGCTCGCCCCACACGTGGTCTATCTGCAGTTCCGGACCCTCGTCCTCATCATCGCTGTCCTCGTCGGAGGAGGAGTCGGTAAACAAGCGGCCTTCTCCGCGGGCGTAGTCTATTTCTGGGTTGGTCAGGCGCTCGCGAAGACTCTGTGACACCTCAGAACTATCGCTATCCAGCGCATCATTGCCCAGGTCGTCCTCCTCCTTCTCCAAGTTGGCAATGGCCCGCTCCTCGGCGCGCCGCTCCTGTTGCTCCGCCTCCGCCTCGGAGTCGAGATCGGGAACAGAATCCTTTTTAGCGGGCTCCTCGTCGCTGCTGCTCTCATTCTCGTCCAGTTCATAAAACTTTCTGAGGTCCTCGGCGTTGCTTTTGTTGACTGGGCGGCCGTACTTGTCCACGGTGTACTTCACCTTGAACTTGTCGTCCGTGAACATGCCCTGGAAACGCTTGTCGATTTTCACCTTTCGCTGCACCTTGGGCACACCGCGAAATCGGGGATCGGCCAGGAGGTGCTGAAACCGAGAATCCTGCCAGATCCCATTCTCCGAATCGGTGACGCCAGCTGCCCTCCCCATGCTGGCCTTGGAAGATGTGGATGCCTCCTCCTTTGAAGTCTTCTTGGCCAGCTTCCCGGACTTATCCTTCTTCTTGGCCATATTTAAGGGACCGCTGTAAATTACAAACAAAACCAAGCACGTGCGGCGCGGCGGTTTAGTTATCGATATCAGCTGAGAACGATAGAACTTAGAAGCTGATAGCCCGCCTATCGTCTAACGCATATCGCAGCCCACCGAAAAGTCATCGATGACGACTTGTAGTTTACCAATAAGCAAGTGTTTTTATTTAACTTTTTTAGAGTTTACGGAGTCCGGTTACAGTAAAACAAGTCCGACCAAGACGATGCCTGCCGTTTCCCGCTCCGGCCGCCAGTGAGTCCAATCCAGCGCCTCCAGCGGATCTGCGATCTTTAGAGGATTCTCCACTGGCTGCCTGCGTGGATGTGCTCGTACTTGGATGTTTGGATGTTTGGTTGCAGCAGAGGGACAGCGCAACGCCAAGAAATAGCAATCAGTTAATTGCCGCGATTACGCCCGAGTAGTCGTCAGATAACCCGCGAGAACCACACAACGCGAAAACCGCTCAACTCCACGGCAGCAGCAGCAACAACAAGAAACGACTGCCAATAGCGGTAGCGGTACGAGAAAAGCGGAGCAGAGCGGAGCGGAGATGACTAATAGCTCGGAGGGCAATGGCAACGGGGGCCGACGCACTGTCGACTGGCAGAGATTCGGACTTGGAGGTGACGAAGATGGGGATGTGGCGGTGACCAGCTTTCGCCAGCGGACCAACAACAATACTGGCGGATTCGTGGATCTGGGTAACGAGTACACGTATGCGGCTGGTGGCCACCATGCATCAGGGGCCAATGAAATCTTTGCGGGCGAGCAGGGTGACAAGCCCTGGTAAGTGAATCAGGCAACCCTTCTGGACAGGATCCTAAGCCGTTTACTCAACAGGTGGCGCTCGAACTTCTTCATCTCCCAGCCCGTTCTATTCGGCACCTGGGACGGCGTGTTCACCTCCTGCCTGATCAACGTGTTTGGAGTGATCGTGTTTCTGCGATCCGGATGGATCGTGGCCCAGGCGGGCATTCTAAACGCGGTGTTGATCATCTTCTGCACGGTGGTCATAGCTCTGGTCAGCGTTCTATCGGCTATCGGTATCTGCGAGCGATGCCGTGTGGAAAGCGGCGGCGTGTACTTCCTCATAGCTCACACCTTGGGTTCCCGCTTCGGTGGCGCCTTGGGATTGCTGTACTGTTTTGGCCAGGCTGTGGGATGCGCCCTCAACGTAATGGGATTTGGCGAATCAATGGCTGGACTAGTGGGACTCGAGGGCAGCAAGTGGGCCATACGCGGGTTCGCTACGGCAGCGGTCCTCCTGCTTGGCTGCATCAACGTGGCCGGCGTCAAGTGGGTCATCAAGCTTCAGTTTATACTGCTCATGATACTGCTGATCTCGGCGCTGGACTTCATGGTGGGCAGCTTCACTAGTGAGGCCAGTGAGTATTAAACATTGTATTTTTTAATGGGCTTTATTATCCAAGTTCCATAACTAATGCCTTTTTAAGTAGATTTATAATAATCTGTCGAATTTGGTTGAATTGTGGTGCGAAATTAGTTGCAAAGATCTTATGATAGCAAGTAATTAATCCGGTTTCCTTTATAGGTGGCGGCTTTAATGGCTGGGCGAGCGGAAACTTCATGGAAAACCTATGGCCAAAGTACGACGACGGCTACTCCTGGTTCCGTGTGTTTGGCGTCTTCTTTCCCACCGTCACCGGAGTGCTCTCGGGCATCAACATGAGCGGCGACTTGCGCGCGCCGTCCACGGACATTCCCAATGGCACCCTTGCCGCCTTTGGCACCTCGTAAGGATTACCCACCTCTGGGACATTCCCTGGTCACCAGTACCTCTTGACATCCGATTAACTTGCAGCACGTTCCTGTACTTGGTGTTCGTGCTGTTTTTGGGAGCGACCTGCCAACGAAGCTTCCTGTATACTGACTACATGATCTCCGTCAAGGTGTCTGCTGTGCATTTCCTGCTGTTGGCCGGCATTTACGTGTCCAGCATGTCCTCCTGCCTAGGTGCCATGTACGGTACCCCGCGCGTCCTCCAGAGTATCGCCAAAGAGAGCGTTATTCCGGGCATCGATATCCTAGGAAAGGGTGTAAGTACCAAATGGTAATGGGATGGAATACTTAAAAACATCACGGGAGCTCTGAAAACGATGGTCAATAAGCATAGATAAACAATAACGAACTCAATTTTTTGAATTTTTCGCTAGCGTGGTCCCAACAAAGTGCCTTTATACGCAATGGCCATCGTGGCCCTAGTCACTGTCACCTTCATTATCGTGGGCGACATCAACTTCTTGGCGCCGATCGTGACCATGCCCTTCTTGCTCACGTATGCCTGCATCGACTACGCCTACTTTGCGCTGGCCCAGACCTTCGACATTCAGGAGCAGCGCGAGGAGCGTTTCCGCATCCAAGCATCGAGTCCCAGCTACGAGACGCGTCGTTACGGCAGTGTTTCGGATACAGGCAACGACCTGGACTTGCTGTTCCCCGACCGGGTGCGCCACAAGAACCTGCAGAGTCCACAGAACTCACCGCTGCACCAAACAGTTCCCCTGGAGTTTGACAACGAGGGTCCCAGCACCTCCAACCAGGCGCAATCCTCGAATTCTTCAGAACGGAGAATGGGACACGAGGCGGACACCACAGTTGCTGTCGAGCAGGCAGTAGGGCAGGTCGGCGGCGAACAGGAACAGGAGCAGGGCGACGATGTCGAACCGATAGCCCCGATCCGCCCGCCCATCCACTCCAAGACGAAAAACTGGTACTCCGGCTATTGCAATCGCTGGGCCTCGCTGCTGGGGGTAAGTCTACACGAAGCAGACGACGCTTCTCATTAGACCTACTTATTTTTGTCACCACTCTCCTTGCAGGCCTTCACAAAACTGCTGGTCATGCTGCTAGTCAACTGGTACTACGCTCTCACCTGCTTCCTGGTGGTGTTCGTCGTATGGTTCTACGTGGGCACAGCCAATCCGGCCGTGAAGCCGGGCCTCACTGCGGAGTTTAACTTCTTCGCCTGGCTGAAGAGCGTCATATTCCGGTGCTTCGGGTGAGTTAGATTTGCGTTTCTGAAGTTTTCAACTAAATGCCATCCCGCTTCTTTTGGTGCACAGCAAACGGATGAATGAGTACGAGCAGATAGTCGTAACACCCTCGTGTCCCGGCGTTGATCTCTCACCCACGCAGCTCAACGAGCAGAACGAGGACTTTCGTCCGCGGCCCAACTACCATCACTCGTCCGTCATTGAGGGTCGCCTCATCGATGACATCTAGACCCCGTCAAGAATCTAGGTTCACCTGGATGCGGGGTGAGCAACAGGGCAGGCGGTGTGGCTGTGGAAAGCAATAGTCGAGAGCATTTCTCTGCCGCCAAGCAGTACTACGTTAAACTAAAGTGAAGTGAACTAAACTTAACCCTATGTGTGTTTGTAAATCTGTAAGAATGTGTTAGGATAGTTAGGATAGCGACAGCTGAGGTCACGATGGTAGTATTCCAAAATCGGTTTTGGTTTGTTTTGTTTTAAGAATTTTAAAGTCTGTGACACATTTTAATTGGGACTCTCCCATGATGTAGCGATTAGATAAGAAAATGTTGATAGTAGTATTGTATACGTTTGTAACGAGTTTTAGGTTTTTGCTAGATATAAACTTTCGGAGGTCAGTCAAATCAAATTATACTACAGTTGTGGAGTCTCCGTTTTGACCACAGCTGCCTAGTCCGGCGTTTACCACCGTGTCCATCCACGCCCCGCCCACACGCACACACACTCATCAGAGAACACTCACACAACAACTCAGAGCATTTTCTAATTATTAATTGTATTCTTAAGCTTCGCATTCTTTCGATGTGTTCCTTGCTCGCATAGTTCTTCAACGATTACTCCTTAGTCGAGAGCGAATAAGTTGTTGCTAAATGGATATGTTTCCAGTGTTCCGCACACAAAACAGAGCGCATTTTGAGGAGACATATGTGATACTGAGATAATAAGTGAACCAAAAACCAGAAATCAAACTCGATGATTTGGCGCCTTGCATTTAAGACGACAACACACAAGAAAGCACAATGAAATTGTTAAAGAACACAAGAACAAGCCACATAACACAAAATACACAATACCTAAGCTAAGCTGTAATCCTGCATTACCATGTCGATGGACAATAACAGTCCTAATTGATAATATATAAAACCTGTACCCACGTACACACTCGGCATAAGATATCAGCAATAACCGCACTCTATATACACCCAATATATGTATATATATCACTCGCATATATCCGATATATACACCTCACGTTGATTGACTAATGTAACCGACCCAGGAGTGTTAAGAAGATGACTAACGTATATTTCAAAAATATACCCAATCGTGTCCCTTTTTGTACGTGTTTAGCCTAATTAAACCTAGTTCTACGAAACCCGTTCATCCCACGGAAAACCCGCATGTAATAATAACAATAATAACACAATAACTGGGACGTGAAATAAAAACTTTATTAAATCACAAAAGTTTGAGTTTGGCGCCAACGAGGGTAATCGATACATTTTCAGGGATGCATTAAGTACTTATGGGGGATTGGCTTTGCCAAAATGTCTGCAATATTGGCGTTCTCCTAAATAATAGCGGAGCTATAATGAGCTCCGTATGACAGAATTATGTTTTGTTACAATATTTTCCCTTACAAATCCCTAAATGAGCTATGGTTTTGAAACCAGGGCTGCACACCCAATGAATGCGGCCGATAACCGACCCCACCTAACCTCAAAGCTACAGCCCAACAATATTCGGTTAAATTCCAGATCAGATATCACCCACAACAAGTGGGTCTAGGACTTGACCTGCCCACATCCCACACCCGCCATGAACAGCTTAGTGCGACGCAGCGTCCAGCAGCTGAACCGCTGGCGTACATATTGCGTAAAACACAATGCTCCGGAAGCGGCTTCTCCCGGCCGGAACGCAGGTGAGCCCATTCTGGCGGAGATGTGTTCCTTTTCAAATTGCTACCAGTGGTCTATGCTCGCCAACAGGCAAGCCCATCTACGAGGAGTTCATTGGCCGCCACCAGCGACAGGCACAGTGCAGCATTGTGGTCCAGGTGAGCTCCGAGAAGTCGTATGCGGAGTTGTATAACTACTGCAGCTACTTCGGCTCTATCCTGGGCGCCCACCACTACTGCGTGCGGCAGGACGAGACCCTGCACTACATCCTGTTGGAGTACGCCACTCCGGGCGAGGCGGCGGCTGCCATCGGAGCGGGAGTCACCAATGGCGAGCTGAGCGGCGTGCCCGTGCGATCACCCTTTTTGTGGTTCCGAGCAGCGGGAGGAGGCAGGCGGAGCCCGAAGTTGGTGCCCAATCCAGCGCCCGCACTGCTCTCCTTGGACGGCACCCAGCTGGTGGATCAGGGCCAGCTCCTGGGGCTCCTGCGAGGTGCAGCGGACATCGAAGAGCAGGTGCTGCAGCTGTACGAGCACACGCGGTTGAATGAGCTGGGAATCCGCATGCGTTTTCTAGCCGCCCTGCAGGTGCAGCAAGCCATTGCCGGCATGTTCCCCGCCGCCCAGGCCCAGCCCTTTGGCTCTTCGGTCAACGGATTCGGCCGGATGGGCTGCGACCTGGACCTTATCCTGCGCTTCGACAACGATATGGGGGCTAAGAGCCCAGTGGAGGCGGCGGTGCCGTCGCGACTCGTGTACCACACCAAGGAGAACCTGAGCAACGGACGCTCGCAGACGCAACGCCACATGGAATGCTTCGGAGATATGTTGCATCTGTTTCTGCCCGGCGTGTGCCATGTAAGGCGTATTCTGCAGGCAAGGGTGCCCATCATCAAGTACCACCATGAGCATCTGGACCTGGAGGTGGACCTCTCCATGAGTAACCTGTAAGTGCCGTTCTTTAACATCCGTCTGTCTGCTTCCCGTCCGCTGTGAAATCTTTTTTTTTGTGGGGGTCGCAATCTTTATTGTACTTATTGTTCGAACTGGGTATGAATTCTTAAGTCTATCGTAGGGTCACTTGTCGCTGCTAACTAGATATGTATACACAAGGCGGGGCTTCAGCGGCGGTAGTTGCTGGCCTGTTCCTCCTCCTTTTTGACCGCCTGCACAAGCACGAAGCTCATCACGGCGCAGATGACGTTGAGCAGGCCGAGAGTCATGGCTAGAGCCACAATCCAACCGGTTTTGCCCTCGAAGAACCAGGTCAGCTCGTCCACGCATCCGTTGAAGAAGGCGTTGCCACTGACCGTGTCGCGGCAGGAGCTTGGCAACGGCTGGCGCAAGTCGAGATAATCCCATGGCCCGGAGGCCCCGCAGCAGCCAATGTTCTCCTGGATCATGGTCAGCACGTAGTTCGAGTACGTGTACTCCGATGTGGCCACAAAGCCGCGCAACGAAACATTCAGCAGCGGCTGCAGGCTGGAGTGCATAGTGCTGAACTGCATTAGGACCGCCGACCCGGCCACAATGGTGATGAACCCAAAGACCTGGGTGCCAACGAACACAAACAGAGCCAGGGTGTTCTCCATGAGCGCGCTCAGGCAGCCGAGGAAACTGACGGCCATCATCACAATGCTGATGCCGATGAGCACGTACACGCCGATGTAGAAGGACTGCGCGTCCAGGATGCGCAGCCAGTCGTTGAAGCCTGGCTCAGCCCTCAACCAGACCGTCAGGGCGAACAGCGCTGTGGATATCATCCATGCCACGATGTTGAAGCAAAAGAGCGTGTACTTCACGCAGCCAATTTGCTTCTCCAGCTGCTCCTCGGAGGCTCCATAGCCGATACCCATCGTTTGGGAAGCTGGAATGCAAACGAAGGATCATTAGGTGAATGAAAACCAGTGCTTGAGCTGAAAAGGCAGTACAAAAGGGGCGCTACTAGTTGCTGACTAGGACTTCAGAAAACAGTGACTTGCTCCTGGCTAATTGTCGAGGAGCTCCATTGAGTCACATACCAAAAGCTCGCCCTGGTCGCGTTTATTAATCACGATGTTGCTTGGCATTTGTGGTTGATTCTCCCCGCCCTTTCCCGCCACTCACTGTATCATCGTTGGCCTTATCGGAGCTGTGTTTAGCAAATAGCGTTATCAGCCACGCACTAGATGATTAATACGAACAATTGCAACACCAAACTATTCAAGAGAATTGAAATGGGCCAGGTACCGGAATTACGGGAGTATCCCTGAGTTTCCCCAGCATTCAAGCATCACTTTTTGAAAACAACTTTAAATCAATATTTGTAAGACGTTTGGAACGTGTGGAAATACGTTTATCCATTGGCAACGTCTTTTGGGTGTGGTACCCACACCGAACTTCAACACTAATTCGTTAGCACTTCAAAAAAATAGACCATCTTAATATAACTGCGTAGAGCTGCGAATTTGTATGCACTTTACTAGGATTCACCTTGTTTCGGTCGATACTCGTGGGGTCAGAAGGAAAAAGTAGTTTGCTCAGTGGCGGACTAGAAACAGATGTCCGCTTGGCTCGTTCGTTGAAATCGTTTTGACCAGACCTGCGGTTCGGCTGAGATACGCGGTGGTGACAACATCCAGGCTAGTAGGGCCGTACAGTCAGGCAGGGAGAGCGGCCTTAGATAAGAAAGCTTCCTCAGCTCGATAAGATTAGATAGCGACAGGTGCCGATTGCCAAATGTCGTGTATTTGGTGCGCTGCTCTCCCGCCGCGGCAGGTGAATCAGTCCTCTCCGCGTTACTGACTTCCCTGGCGTGCCGATGGCCATGATTCACATCCATTCACCCGCCCCCGATAAGCTCCCCGCTGCACTCACATCCGGCCAGTGGTGGGGGTCAGTTCCACGGGCTCCACACTGTTGGTTGTCTCATTGAACAAGGCCACGCCCGTTTGGTTGGAATTCTCTCCCCTTGGGGTGGGCGTTCACTGCTTGCGTTAGCACGAAATATGTTTTAAGAATGTGGTTTTTAAACGGAATCCCTCTTCCAGCACTGGCTTCTATATGTCGGAACTGCTTTACATGTTCGGTGAAATGGATCCGCGCGTACGACCTTTGACCTTCACCATCCGGCGCTGGGCACAGACCTGCGGCCTAACGAATCCCTCGCCTGGTCGCTGGATCAGCAACTTCTCGCTCACCTGCCTGGTGATGTTCTTCCTGCAGCATCTGCGCCAGCCCATCCTTCCCACAATTGGAGCGCTGGCAAAGGCGGCGGAGTCAGGGGATTCACGGGTCACCGAGGACGGCATAAACTGCACCTTCACCCGGAATGTGGATCGACTGGGCTTCAGAAGTCGAAACCAAAGCTCACTGAGCGAGTTGTTGCTGCAGTTCTTTGAGTTCTACTCGCAGTTCGACTTCCACAACCGCGCGATATCCCTAAACGAGGGGAAGCCTCTGTCCAAGCCCGACCACTCGGCCATGTACATCGTAAATCCACTGGAGCAGCTACTAAATGTGAGCAAGAATGTGAGCCTGGAAGAGTGTGAGCGGCTGCGCATCGAGGTCCGGAACGCGGCTTGGGTTCTGGAGTCTGAGGTGGAGAATGCCTCCGTTCCGGAAGCGGACGGCCAGGAGCTTTCCTGGGGCCTGTTGAACCTGTTTAAGCATCCCGAAAAGGCCGTCATTCGGCCAAACATGTTTTTCAAGCCGCGCATGGTCGAGGTAAGCGATCTCTTCGAGCAGAAGGAGGCGGGAGCAACGTCCAGCTCCACTGCTCCCAACCAACCAGCCATAACCTACAAGAGTGCCTCTGTGCGGCAGCAGGTGCAGAGCATCAAGGCTGCTACGCGCTCCGAACTAAAGCAGCTGCGCGGATCGGGCAGCTCAGTTCCGACGAACAGTCCCAAGAATCGGCGGAGCAGCAGGTGATGCTTCTAAGACTGGCACCTCCCGTGTACATACTTAGGATAAGCCACAACTTCACATTCAAGGTGGGTCAAGCTTAAGGTTAGGGCAGCCGCAGTTGGCTGAATTGAATGTTGTTCATACTTTTAAAGCTCCTGTTAGTTAAGATAAGTCTATGATCCTATGATCGAGTCGACTTTGAGTATTTAAACCGATTACTATTGACGAATGAGACCAAATGTAGCAGGGCGGGAAATCTGTGAGATCTGTGAGGCAAGTCGAAAAGAGCTCAAGAGAGCAGTAGTTATTTGATTTTGTGGATGAGCAGGTATCCGTAAGACATACTTTCCTAGTTAAAGTAGTAATAATTCTGTTTTTTATGATAATAAAACGAAAATAACGTACCACCATTCCTGCCATTTGGTTTTTCACTCGGAAAATAACACAAACATCCCAGCTCACCCCTAAGATGTGCGAAATTGAAGAAAACGACAGAATTTTCGTATTTGTTGAAGATTTTATTGCGTTCTTTCAATGTTCGGGATTCACCACATCCTCATCCTTATCGCTACGTGTATCTGTGTTCTGATCTCAGGCGAAACAACACTGGAGAGCATAGTTACAGAAGACCAGATGGCGAGTTTTGTTTAGCCGCGAGGACCATGAAGGACCATCTACCCCATGAAGGATTGTATATGCATGTAACTCTGCATTTTGTGTCTATTCTCCGCTCTTGGTTCCAATTGCGTTTATTTTGATATACATTTCTCGTGTGTTTCGTTCGACTCTACGTGATCCTCGCTGTTGATCGATCTTTTTACAAAATTTGATTCTATGTTTATAGCTTTGTAAATGGGTGACGATGACCGTGTGCTGCGCTGCTGCTTCATGTTGTTGTCTATTCTCTAGATCGATTTTTGTATATGGTTTAATGTACATAACTAATTGCTTGCTTACGACTGTAATGTTTAGTTTTATGCATGTAAATCACGTAGTGCATACAAAATTGCCTTCTGTAAAATTAATCAAATTTCGGGTCCGTTGTGTGCTGCTCCTGCTTAACTGGTCTGATCTGATTGCTGATCTGATCTCTGCAGATGTTGCTCTTGCTGTTGCTGCTACATAATAAAATAATTTACAAATGAAGAGAGACAAGGGACGGGGTGAGTCGGGAGTGGGGAGAAGAAAAACTGATCCTACGATGCTTCCTAGTTAAATAGGTACAAAAAAGAGGGCGCCGAAACAAGCTGCCAGCTGGCCAGGACCCAGGACGAGCGGAGCGCCCTGCTCCTCCGCAGAGCATATCTCGACATCTTCGGCGGCTACTTAGACAACAATTTCAACGGCAGCCGCCGGGTCCACTCATCTAAACCAGAGCTTCAACCGCAGCGCATCCACTCCATTGAGATAGTAACGGAACAGCCGCTTATCACGCACGAAGCCCAAGTTCTCGTAGAGCCGCAAAGCCGGCTGGTTTCGCATCTCCGTCTCCAGCACCACCTCGTCGGCATTGTCGGCCAGCATTGCCTGCAAATGGGAAAATTTTAGTGGTGTATGAGTTTTCACGAATAGAAAGAAAGGTAGATAGGTAATGAGTGGTTCATATCCCTCGCCAATTTGCGTGGGTTGCATGCCCAAAAGTATACCTTGAGAAGCTATTGGCGAGCTAACTAACTGATATGTGCAAACCGAGAGTCATCCTACCTCTATGGCCTTGGTGACCAGCGTGGTGCCGATCTTGAGCTTGCGATACTCCTTGCGCACGGCCAGCATGGCGATGTAGCCGCGCCGCACGTTCATGTGCATGTCCAGCTTGCACACAATGGCGCCCACGTACTGATTGTCGTGCGAGGCGAGGAAGCAGAGTTTTGGCCAATTGTAGATGAAGTAGCGGTACGTGTATATCGAGTAAGGCTCAGAGAGCTCCGCCTGGATCAGTCGCATGATGTCCTGCATGATGTTCGATATGTGGGGGATTAGTATTGCGCACAGTTCGAACTGAGGGATAGTACTCACATGCATTTGGTGTTCAGCCTCGTATTCCTTATACACGATCTCGTCGGCTGAAATGGCAGGTTCTGGCAGCTGGAGCTGTGCTGTAATGGTGGGCGTGGCCCCATCTGCAGAGGCGGAGGGCAGCTGCTTCTCCTCCTGCTCCCGGCAAAAGCCACTCCCCGTTGCCACTTGCCCTCCAAGTTCCACAGTCGCCTCCTCCGAACCTTTTGTTTTTGGGACCGTCGTTGTGGTTGGGTGTGTGCTGGCAGTGGTTTTGCTTGTGGCTGTTATGGGCTTCTCCTCCGGATTGAGGGCATTTGAATCTGATCCTTCCCCGCCGCTGGCTTCTTCTCTTCGCTGCTTGCGGTTGTTGTTGCTGCTGTCCACGCTGTTGTTGTTGTGGGTGCTGTTGTTGTTGTTGCTGCCGCTAGTGCTGCGAATGTGATTGTTGTTGCTGTGCCCATGTGCATGGCCGTTGAGGACCTCAACAATCGGCGGAGCATCCTGCTCCTTGGGACCATGACCGTTGCAAAGGTGCATCTTCTTAAGCAGGCCCCTCAGTTCCTGACCTGGCTCCTGGTCTTCCGTCGCCTCCTCCTCCTGTTGCTGAACGTGCCCATTGCTGGGTGTCTGTGCCTCCACCTGGCCACTGGAATTCGGATTGGGGTTCTTCTCCGTCAAGTTCTTTTTGTTCTTGTACTTCTTCTTTCCGGCCGCCGCTGCCTGGGCATCCGCCATTCTGAAAAGCGACGGGGTTGGGTCTGAGGGGGAACCTGCTGCTCCTCCTGGGTGTAACTGGGAGGAATGGGAATCCTCGCCTGCAACCGTGTACCTCGGACTTATTTTTGGTTATATTTTCACAGTTGCTGGTTTTTCATTCACACGCACAGCCACATACACGCACACGCACACGCACGCTACTCTGGCACGGGGCAGTGGTCGTCCTCTTTATTGTGCTTCCGATATCCGGAGTTCCGATCAATCCGATCTCGTTTTGCGGCGCTAGTGCGTGGGCATGCCCAACTTATGTAAAATCCTATATCCCCGAAACTTCAGATTTTCCTTGCTATGAATAAATCCGTACCCACACATATGCGTGAACAGCTGTCATAGCAATCGATTTTTATTCGATACTATCGATACAATCATCGCCTGCAGAAGGGACTTTCGGCAAGTGAATTGCCAAGTGAAAGCGTAATCAGCAAATGAACAGTGTAAATTAAGGAAAATATTTATTAATTATGATATTATATATTAATATTTCAACAAATTTATCTTTGACATGCAACTGACATACATACATCTACGCTTCTTGATAGAGTATAAAAAACAAAAAGAATTACAATCTTATTATTCAGCATTTGAATATTTATTTCTTTATGACAACGATTTAATCGCTGCCCTTGTAATTGTATCTTATATGTATTTATATTTTTTAATGTGTATTGTTGGCAAATTATATCGTGAGCTTGTACCTTTTTGCGAGGGTGTGCTGTACATAACGGAAAAGAGGATCAGAAAGAAGAAGAAGAAACCGTTACTCAAAGTTTTCTTCTTACTCTTCGGAAAGCAGAAGCGTCTGCACGGCGTTAATATTTTTGATTTTCGGCGAATTTCGATTGGTAGAAATCAGTTTAAAGTGTTAATTATAATAAAGTGCATGTAGTGTCAATGAGTAACATGAAAAGATTACCTGAAAATGGATGGAAACCAACTAAATTGCTCAAAATGTATGTGCACGTGCACTCTCCTTTTAAAATATATATACATATGTATGTATGTGTGTGTACTTGTTTGATTACAAGTGCGTTACATTCTGTTGTATTTTTTTATTGTGAAATTGATAAATAAAATAATAAAAACGTTCTTCAATTGGTAAGTTACTATTTATAGCTAGTAAAATTTAGTTATATTGATAGATTGATAACTCTGCAGTGCAACCTTCGGCGCCATAAAATAAAATCCATAAGGTACAGCTACATACATATGTACATATGTACATATGTACATATGTATATGCATCGAATGCATAGCTATGTCATATTAAAATCCGATTAAAATTTTCGATTTCTTAATTGTTTCGAATTTCTACAACATCAAAAAACTACATAAAAATAAAAAAAAAATGGATTTCAAAACTTAAATGCAGATTTTTAGAGAATTTCGCCAGAAACATTTAGAGGTATGCCACTTCAAAATCCGATTAAAATAAGTTGAGTTATGGAGTTTAGAACTTCAGCCTTGCGGCATTTCTTAATTTTTTCGAATTTCTGCAACATCAAAAAAACTACATAAAAATAAAACAAAAATAGATTTCAAAATTTAAATGCAGATTTTTAGAGAATTTCGCCAGAAACATTTAGAGGTATGCCACTTCAAAATCCGATTAAAATAAGATGAGTTATGGAGTTTAGAACTTCAGCCTTGGCACATTTCTTAATTTTTTGGAATTTCTACATCATACATCACAACAAAAATTACAAAAAAATTACAAAAAAATAGATTTCTAAATTTAAATGCAGATTTTTAGAGAATTTCGCCAGAAACATTTAGAGGTATGCCACTTCAAAATCCGAATAAAATAAGTTGAGTTATAGGGTTTAGAACTTCAGTGTTGGGACATTTCTTCCTTCTGCCTGTTACATACTTTTTAACATGTTACGAGTAACGGGTATAAAAACTCAGTACAAGGGTCGATTCAAAGCAGGAAAGAAAACCCCTGCTTTTCATTGTATGAAGTAATGGCCAGGAGAAATCCGCCTGCTGTTTGCAGCCAATTTTGCGGCTACTTAACGACGGCAATTAGTCGCCTGATTTATCGTTATAGCCTGCCACTTTAACGGGCATTCCAGCTCCTCCCAACATCATAATCGAAAGACTTGGGTAGCGAACTCTGCACTGCCGATGTTGCTGCTGTTTGTTGGGCTTGCTGCCTCCAGGCCTCCAGACCTCCACACCTCCAGACCTTCAGAACTGGGACATCATCAGCACTAGCTGGTGAGCAAATCAGCTGGGGAGACGAAGCGGTTTCGATCTGCTTTTGGATCAGCAATGCCTACTTTGCATACGGAATTGGACTTGAATTTGATTGACTGAAATTGAATAATCCGAGCCACGCGATTGGATAATTTCTTGAAATTTTGCATACGAACTTGCAGCCGCAGTTGTGTGAGCAGCAGCAGTTTGGCGTCCGTTTTGCTGGACTCTGTTTCACTTTTCGCTGTTGCCGCAGTGACGCGGGCAAATCCGAAATTAGCAAAGCAAACAACACACGGAGAAAGTGAATGGCCGAATAAAGTAAAAGCAGCAGCGGAGAAAGGTGGTGGAGAAAGGGGAGAGAGCGGAAGAGGACAGGTGCCGCAGCCAACGCCTTATCACCTCGCTGGTGGAGATCTCCAAGAGACCCACACAGATAAAGATACCAAATCGATGGACGCGAGTTGCTGGCAGCTCAATTTAACATA